AAATTATAGTGTTTATAATGTTGACAAAAAATAAAGAAAGAGAAGCACAGACAACAATAACTACACAATGACAGACATACAGACAGACAATTGGAAATGGTAAGGGTATTCAGGTAGTTGGGTACTTTTTAGATATGGATTCGCAACAAACATTAACAACATTTTGGTTCACAAAATGACAAAACAACAAAATAAATATATATTTAAATATATCTATATATATATATATATGTATATATATATATATATATATAAACTTATATAAATAATCAAAAAAATTAAAAAAAAACAACAAATTTTAGATAGGCGAAAGTGAGCTGCTAAATTACGTATATATAAAACAATATATATATAACTGAATCGGCTTGAGGCAATCCAGTAGGACGATAAGATCAATATCTTCAATGCTGCTGAAGAAGAGGAAGACATACACACACACATTTTACTTATGTATACGTATGTGTGTAGACAGATACACACATACATACAATCTGCAAGGGAGTCAAGGCAATGGTTACTTTAACGCTAAACTAAAACTATTTGTTAACAAAAAAAAAAAAAAATAAGAAATATAAATTAAAGTCGAATTCCACAAAAAAATAAGAAAAATAAGTCGAAATTCGGGAACCTAAAAATAAAGGAGGAGCATTGCAGAGCTGTAGAATGTTAAATTATATATATGTATATATATATACTATATATATATATATATATATATATATATATATATATATATGCATATATTTATATATATATCTAAGGTATATGCGTATATAAATATAAATAAATAAATATATTTTTAAGACACGTTCTAAAAGCAATAATTCAAAACAACAACAAACAGAAGGGGAAGAACAACAAGAAGCAGAGCAGGAAGAAGCTAAGTAAGTTTGACAAAAAGAAGAAAGAAAAATTTGAATACATTAAATATACACCAATATATAAATATACATAAATATATATACAAAAAAAAAAAAAAAATATATATATATATATATATATATATATATATATATATATATATATACATATACATTTAATATTATTGAAGAAGTAGAAGTTGCAACGCATCTCTCTCACACACAACAAAATATTATATATGCATATTGTAAATTACTTGTAAACATTTTTTGGACTGTCCTAGAAGCAGAAGAAGACGAACACACATTGTAGCAACTAAATATCGTTTATCGATTTTGGATGCTGAGTAAACAAATCTACTCGAAATTGCTATCCAAGTCTATAAAGGAAAACATCATTTCTAGGCAGTTATGCCAAGACAAAACAAAAACCAAAAAAATCTAACAAAATTGAGTAGGCAACAAAAGCAAAGTCTTTGCTGGCCCAAAGTACAGTCAGCTAGTAAATTTTTCTATGTTCTAAGTCGATAAACCGATAACAGGCAAAACAAAAATATCGAACTCGATGCGAAACGCTTTCAGCAATGAGTCTAACGACTGATTGTTGAAGCTGTTGTCGGTTAAACACATATATATATATATTGTACGAGACATACAGACATGTTGATGTACGAAGTAAATAAGTAAAAAAAGAAAACCAGCTTTAAGCGTACTGTTGAATTTTTTCTAGCATTTTCCCTGTTAACGTTCGTTATGTGTAGAAGAAAATGCTTTATACGATATTATTTGTAGTAGTGCTCTATATTGTTAAAAGCAAATCTCAAGACAAGCTACAACAACTACAACTACAACTACAACATTGACAACTACAACAACAAACAACTTCATGCACAACACTCTATTGGTAAACCGGATCAACAAAAGCAACAACAACAACAACCAACATAAAATGCGTCCTTGTAACAAAAATCAATTTCAGTCAATTAGAAAAAAAGAAAAAAACAAAAAGAAAATGTTACAGCAAAAAAAACACACAAAGAGCAACAAAAAAGACAAGCAAAACACATTTTTTTAAACAAAAAACAAAACAAAAAAAATTGATAAAAAAAAACATTTTTCATTATTTTTCTACTGAAGGCGTCGTCAATGAAAGAAAGACAATGACGGCGCAGGCGCAAAAGCTTTAAATTTGAAAATAATATAAACAAGAAGACAAGTCTCTAGAGAGAGAGTGGGAGAGAGCCCAAGAGGAGGATAAAGTGTATAAACAAATAAGTAAAAGAAAAAACAAAAATTAAAAATGCCGAAAAAGATTTTTTAACTTTAAGCTAAAAACGCCGTTTATTGAGTCAAAAGTCAATTTTGTGGTTCACGACAGAGAAGAGGAAGAAAAAGCAAGGAGAACACACAAAGTAATATGTAAAATAGTTTTAAATGACAAAAAAATAAATATCTGAAAAAAAAATACAATTACGAAAAGACAGAAGACAAAAGTTCTTGGTAGCTACTTATATACGACTTACTTTCCGTTTATGCTCTTAACTCTCTTGATTATCATTACTATTATTATTATAATTATCATTATTGTCATTCAATTGTCTTATATAAACATATCAGTTCTAATTATGTGTATGAGTAAATCGACAACAAAACTATACGAGATATTAACCAGATACAATGGAAACCAGTGTCTAACGATGTTTCTTTTTACCATATGCAGCACACAAACACACACTCACACACACACATACGTAAACACTGAGAAGCGCATAGAGCGGCGCAAGACAATGCTTTTATATATGATAGCAATCAATTATTATTGACACAAACATTTCGTAATGTTCACTTTCTTTTCGATACACACACATATGTACATACACACACACACTGACATGCACACATACACATTCACAGACACACACACATACTTGGTAAAGAATTGCATACAAAAGAACCTACATACGAACGATCACTTGACTATTTTTGCTATAAGTAAGAAATTCCCCCCAGGAATACGTCAGTTTGCAGTTGGTACTCCTGCTGACAAAAACACCTTTACTATATTGACAATATCTCTTATATATTTTACACTATACTATATGGAAAAACAAAACAAAAGAAAAACAAAAAAATTATATATTAATATATACAAAAAAGAAGAAGAAAAAACAAATATGAAATACATGAGAAATGTTTAAGATAAAGATAATGACAAAGGACGGCAGTGAAGTTAAAATTGTATTTACAAATGCGTAACCAGCAAAAATGAAATCATTTTAATACTTTATACACAAGTCGAAGGAATCTTAAAAACCAAAAAAAATAATATATATATATATATATATATGTATATATATATATATATATATATATATATATATATATATATAAAGAAGAAAATCCCAAAATTCAACAGAAATGAAGATACATTTATATAAAGCGCGTTAATAAAGCGTTAAGCAGTTTGTAAGTATTCTACTATGTAAGTAAAAGTAAAAATAACAGTAAAAGTAATTAAGAAATGGATGGCAAATCAATTAGAAACACACACTCAAACACACACAGAAGCTGGAAAGGAAGTGAAGCGCGATGGTTACTTTATAAAAAGAGAAAGAGGAAAAGAAATTTAGTCTGGATACTAAGTCCCAGCTGGACACATTTGGGCATCGAGCGATGAGCTGAGAATGTAATAGAGCGGCGTTGCCTAGGTGTGCATAAAGACACCTGTGGTACATGCGTGTAGGACAGTGTAATAGCTATGAGACAACTGGTACAGTACTATACACTTACAGCAAACTATACAAGGTAAAAATTATAATAAAAAAATTAAAATAAAAAGCAAAAAGCGTGCGAAAAGCCATACACATAAACAGAAAGCATAACGAGAATTTAAAGAAGAAAACAATTTTTTCATTTCTATAAAGAAATCCGGTAACGAATTTGTATATTTACTACAAGTATATATATATATGCAAATATATATATATAAAAGGCAAACACAAACAAACTTCATACGAACGCAAAAATATATATGCCCATATATACATACATATATATATATATATATATATATATATATATATATATATATATATATATATATATATATATATATATATATAAAGCAAAATGGTATATGTATATCATATACTATATATATATATTTATATAATAGTTATATAACCAAGAACAAACAAATAAACATATAGTTAAATTCAATAATGTTAAGCATATAAAAAGCAACAAAAACAACAACAAAGCCGATGGTTAAAGTAATTCAATTATTTATAAGGACCCTTGCACACCACAACAACAAGCAGAACAGGAAGCAGGAGGATCATTCAGAATTGGCAATTATTGCCTTTTACACACACACACACACACTGATACACTTCACACACTCGAACAACAATAAATTGTAAAAGTTTTTAACACACACAGAGAATATCAAGTCAAATATGTATTCAAAAACCAAAAAACAAACTTTAGCAAAAAACATTTAAAACCTATTTCCCCTGAAGAAGCAGAAGAACAGATGAATTTGATAACGAGTTCGCAATCTGTGAGCAAATGTTATAAGTGGGAGGCCGTAGAAGAAGAAGAAGAAGAAGCGAAAATTCCATTGAAGCTGTTTAAAATCGGCGTAAGCATAAACGACATCAAAAAATATGCATGCGTATATATATATATATAAATAAATAAATAAATAAATAAATATAAACTATAATGAAACATGATTTTAAAAGCGAAATGAAAACAATTTAAATAATGGCATTATAAGTTAAGATAATGGTACATAAGTTTAAAAAACAATGGCAAAACAAAACGGCTCTAGAGCAACCAAAAAAACACAAAAACAAAAACAAAAGTATATATAATACAAATTATAATGAAATAACTGAAGAAATAAATAAATTAATTCATAATGATTAATAAACAAATATGAACATTGTTCAAAAACATAAACTCTACATATGTGTTTTCATTTATGGAAAATGTGTATTATGGGCCGAAAGGAAATTCGAAAAGATCAAATTTTTGTAGATCAATTCACTTCAGATCTTCATTTAAGCGAGTTAAGTGAGTCTTTTTTCAGCCAAATTCTTATAATTGTAGATAATTATAATACAAGCAATCATTGAAGACAGTTTACAATGAATCTATATTCATACATTGATAACACCCAGATTTATTTCAATTTTCCTACACACATGAGTTAACAAAATTCTAGAATTTATTTAGTGTAAATAAAAAACAGCTCGAGCTCGGGGCTCAACTTGACTTTTTGGACTTATTGGCCAGCTTTTTGGCATCCCACCATTTTGCGTACCATTTGGCACTGCGCTCAGCGCTGGTATCTGGATCGTACAGCGGCACATAGTCCATGTGTATGGAGGCGCGCAGACGATTGTACATGAGCATTGAGGAGGTAAACGATGCAATGGCCCGCGGTGAGTAGCGTAAGCGATATTTGGTATAGGGATAGGCAACGCGCACGACAAACTCCCACAGAAAGGCTAAGAAGAAGAATAGAAAGTGTGGCAAATACCACCAGCTAGTTTTGACCTTGAAGCGATCGCCAAGCAGCGCCATCTTTTGCACGAAGCGTGAAACATCATTGATGCCCGTATCGTCGGTGACGAATACAGGTAATCCATTCACCGCTTTGCTAGACACCTTGAGGGCCTTATAGGCGCAGATGTGACCCCAGGCCACGTTGCCAGCATAAACCAACTGCTGCTTGCCTCCAACGCCAGCAATACGCGGAAAGATCCAATTCCGAGTGGACAAATAGTCGAATGTGTCGGTGATAAAATGTGAATCGCATTCGCCATAGGTTAAAGGTGCGCGTATCGCACTGGTGGCCAGATAATCTGAGGCAAAGAATTATTAGTATATAGAAAGATCAGGTACTAATCGGTCTTACCCAGCTGATTCTGGAGCGGCGCTCCATTGGAATTGAGAACAATATTCTCAGCACGCAGTTTGCTGGATGCATAGCCCGCAATTAAAAATTCGCCATCCTGTTCCCAGAGCTTGGAGCTGTCCAGCGTGGGCGTGTCTGTCTTAGACTCTGTTGAATTGATCACCGCCGAGAAGGTGCTGCGTCCCTTGAAAGGCACAAAGCACACCGATGTGCAGCTGCTGTAGACCAAGCGCTTCACATTGTGCTGTATGCACAGATCAACAACAGTCCGAGTGCCTAAGTTAGCGTAACATTTATGTAAATATATTAAAGTACGATTTACTAAATGTAAAGGAAACGTCTAGTTAACTCACCATTTATATTCACACGCTCCAGTTGCTCATAGTTGGGCGGATATGAAATGTCTACCGATGCAGCGCAATGGAAGACGCTATCAACTCCGGCAAAGATATCGTTTAAACTCTCACGTTCACCAATATCCCCGATAAATGTGCGCAGCATGGATGTCTCCGCGTGACCAATCTTATTGCTATACGGCACAATGTCCAGCGAGCGAATCTCCTTGATGCCCAGCTCCTTGTGCTGCTCCAGCAATAGCTTAATAATATGTTGGCCCAAAAAGCCGCTTCCGCCTGTCACGAGCACCACTTCGCCATCGCTGTTGCCCATTGCGTCTAATGTCTCTAATTTCAGCTCTTACTAGAAAATAATAAAGTACAATAAGAAAAGCCGTTGAGTAACTGAGTGCTAAAAAGCACTACAAAGTGCAACGCAGCCATAAAAAACGCAAATACTGATGCGCAAGTTGGTCAAGCGAGCATCATAAAAAAAGCTGCTTCAATTACCCAAGCATCGGGTCGCATCGCAGCAAGAGAAGCCTTCATTCGCGCTCTCATAACTAAAGCTGATAGCCATGGCTCTTGCAGAGAGACCTTCGTCCGGGGTCAGCAAAGCCGTTTTTGAATGACTTGACACTTTTTATGGCGCATGGCTTACGTGCAGCTTTGTTATGGTAATGAAGATACAGCTAAACTTTAACCAGATCGTAGGTTCATACAACGCCGTAACCAAAAGTTTAAAAGACGATTAATAAAAAGTACGTTAAATACTTGTTCCGATTGGTTATCGAAGGGACCCAATGAACTCCACTAATCGAAGGACTTCAAAGGCTTAATATACAATACGATTAAATATCGAAAGGAAGACAGACCGACAATCGCACAAGGAACACAGCTCATGCCAAAGTATGATCACTGTGAAAGTTCCGTTACACTTTTAAAACTAACATTAATGCATTTTTAACTACATATTTTCGCAATAGAAATATCATTGAAGTTGTTGCTATTTTGAGTGTTTCGTCGTTGTTTCCTCTTTGTGTGTTACTTGGCCAGGGTCAATTTATTCAACACTTTTGGACCAACAGCAGCAACAGAGCAAAAACATACAAATCAGAGAGCTGGACTTGACGCTGGGCTAGCTATGATTACAACACAACAGCAATAACAGCCGCGGCAAAACTAGCATCAAATAATTACTACGAACTGGTTTCCGCGTCTATTACAACATACATGCGTCAAATGGTTGCGCACAACGACTGCCATTTGAGCCGTCCATTTGAACATTTGGGCTTTTGATTGTTAGTTGCTTTTAGCAACTTAAATTGCATTTTAGACATGCACCGCTGCATTGCCAATTCACGAAATTCCCATAACCACCGTCCTGAACTTACCACGAAAAATTGTTTGTTATTTTTTTTATCCGCCGTTGCAAACGGTTTGCTTTGCTTGCCGCCTTAAAACTGTTTGACGGCTTGAAGACGAACGGGCTGAGCTCTAAGCGATCTGGCGGCGTTGCCACCTGTCAAACATATGCTCATCGATAAATAACAATAGAGCTGGGCGATCGTCAGTTTTCATCGTCTTTCGAGCAATAGGCGCGTAAACTCAAATAGTTTACTTGTCAAGTTGGTAAAATTCAATTTTTTATTCAACAACAATTAAATGAATATGGACATTAAATAGGCTTAGAGATTATATAAATAATTTTCATCTTCCATACAGATCGTGTTAATTACACAGGCAAATTACAATATTCAATAAGTACATTGGTAATTGTTTTCGTTGCATCCTTCTTCATATAGTATATAGTATATAATATATATATATATATATATATATATATATATATATATATAAATATAAAGTAAACGAGAAGTAAAAGGCCGTTGATACAAATGACTTTGGATTAGATTAGGCGCGCTTAAACATTAACAACATATACATATACATGGAATACAAAATGGTGTTTAGTATAATTAAAAATTCTGTTCACATTTCAGTTTGGTTTATTACAACATTATTCTGTAAATATATTTTAATGTTCATGTTCAGTTTTAAATCGTAAGGTTAATAATGTTAATGTATGTATGCATGTTGTATATATATATATCAATCTGTTAAGTACTAACTGACTTGGATTTCATATAATTATATATATAGTATTTCTTTATAATATTAATGTACGCACATCTGCCGCACAAACTATAAATAATCATTAATAATTATCTAGAACTTTGTTTTAGTTACATTATAATTTTTATTCTATTGCATTTAGATGCATAAATTGGAGTGTGACATGAAGCAATGAAAACAAATTCTATACTTATTAATTGTCGCGCGATGAACAATATATGAATGTTGATTGTGTGTACATTAAACTATTTAGGTGTATATATAACTCTTTATATATATATATATATATATCATTATATATATAATAGGTATTACGGTAAGCGGTCACAAAGAGCAACTCTTTAACTAATATTATTTACTTTAACTATTACAAGTACGTTATCATTATAAGCTATTATTGTTGTTATATTGTTTATCCTTTTCAGCCATTCACCAATATCCTTTTCACTCAGTACGATAAAGCTGATGGCGAACGCGAACCAACTGTGAAATCTTTATACACTGAAAACACGGATATCTGCAAAGCGCAAAAGCAAAACCAAATATTAAAAATAGTTCATAATCATTTCAATGAATTTTTACACCCTATTCATTATATATAATTATTTATAAATATATATACGTTGTGTGTATTTTAATTGGCAACTTGCGTCACAGTCAAGAACTGCATCATTATGTTGGCGAATTGCCAAATAGCCAAATTAAACTTGGCATCTACAATTGGCAGTCGAATTGGAAGCTGTTTTAGATTTGTGCTCCAATTAAAGACGAGCCAAAGGGAGCGGAAGGATGGACAGCATTTACCTTGTCTTTCAGCTGCTGACACAGTTTCTGGCCATTCATCAGCAACAGGAGTACATCGTTGAGCCATTGTACACCGATTTCCGCTTGACGTGAATCAAATTGCATTGTCCCTTGATTGTTTAATAGTTGATAGACGGCTATGATCAGCTTGTGGCTTTGCAAATAGAAGCTAACGGCCAAGTCTTCGGGCAGGTTAGGCACAAGTGATTTCATATTGCGTCCCTTGATTAGTTCCTCAATTGGCTTCTTTTTCGGCACTAGCAAACTGTTGCGTCCACGCTGCAGCGCATCCAAAATATTGCCTATCACATGAAGCACTTCATCCGAGGTTCTGTATAATCAGTACGTTATAAATATACAAATTTAAAGTACATAATCAACAGTCTCACTTGAAGTGATAAGAGTCATCAACGTCGTCAATGTGATTGATTGCTGTTTGCAGATGATTAGCGGCGTCTTGCACCTGCTGCAGCTTCCATGGCGAATCGTGGGTGATTGAGGTACGTTGCGTCTGACTGGGCGCCTTGCACAGCTTAAAGCTAATATCCTGTAAAATTCAAAGTGGAAATTTAATTACTTTGCTTGTGCCCTTGTTTATGTATACTTAATGCTTAATGCTTAGTGCTTACTGCTTGTGTTATCGCGTCGCCTGTTAAGGTTAGCACCGCCTTCAACTGGTCGGGCGAAACGCTGAGTATGAACTTTTCAGTCTTCTTGCCCTCGTTATCATACAGCGGCACTGGAAATCTATGGGCGCATTCCTAAATGATAAATACATATATGTATATATAAAAGATATGAGTAATTGAATTGCATAAGGATATTATGGTAACTTACGACAAGTATAGTTCGCAATTGCTTTAGTATCGCGTGTACTTCCTGTCTCAGCACCCACTCGAATTCTATTTGCTGCAAAATATGTATGTAGGTATGCGTGTATGAATATATATAGATTTGTAATGCGGGTTTGTTGTGGGCGTGCGTATGTGTGTGTGCGTATGTGTTTTGTGATAGCGTCGCCGTCGTTGTCGCCGTCGTTAGCCCAAAAACAAAGAACAACGGGGCACGTTTCATGTATAAATCAATAATATCGGCATTTCGGTGAGAGAAGAAAGGAAAAACACAAAATGAGACAAAACAATCAATAATCAATTAGTTTAAAGCACATACACTTCGCACTTGATTAATTACATTGCATTTTAGGCCGGATGGACTTTTAATTACACACACCCATACACACACACTTGCCTACATACATACCAAATTTAGAGCCTCCTCTCGCTCGGTGTCAACGACGAGCATTTTCATTGTGCTTTTGGCCTTCTTGCGGGCTGTTATGTATCTCCTTTTGGTTTTGTCAGCTAATGCTGCAGCACCACCGTTGTTAGCAGCAGCAGCAACGCCAGCAATTTGCAACGAAAGCGCTGTAAGTGTTATTGGATATGTTGAATGTTTATATATATATAGTATTTAACAACTGCTGCTGTTCATGAATGAACAAACAAAAACGAACGCATCTTTTGGAGCGATATTACGATATGTTTGTGTCATCGTGTGTCATCGCTAACAAACAACAAATTTGAAAATTCGCAATATTTTTGCATATTAATTAAGACATGCAGTATTTAATTTTAAGCAATAGGCATTTTTTTCTCACAGCTATTGATTGAATTATCACCTATAAAATGTAATTGGACGTAATAAACAATTTTATGATTGCAGCCCTGACTAATGAATATTTCTCTATAACATTGCCTATCGACTTATCGCTAGATATCAATAGTGAACATGCGTTGACATGCGAATGTTCAATTTACGCGCGTTAAATTCAAATTTAAGCAAAGCTTTAATGCTGATAATACTTACGTTTTCGCAGAGGCGGAGGCGTTGTCAAGACTGCCGTCTCTGGCACCGGATTAAGCACATGGTGCTGGTACTGTCCGCTACGCTGTCGATGTAGCGGCTGGAATGACCAATTTGTTGGCGAGCTGTAAATTATTGGACAAAAAACATGTATACAAATAACACGTTGTTATTTTTTTAACCAATTTGTCAGTACGATCACACAAAAAACCAACAAACACCTTATCATTATAGATTTCTGTTTGATTTCGATTTGATTCAATGTGAAGTGCTAATTGCCATAATGCTATTGTTATTGTTATTGTTATGGCTGTCAAATGAGTCATCCGACCATCCATCGAAGCAGCTGTTGACGATACAGCGCCTGGTTTTTGGTTGCAAGCGAATCTCTCTCTTTCTACCCGTTTCGCTTGAATTACATGTAATGCGGGTTTCCCACAGCGCGCGTGTCAGCACTTTACTTAAAATATGACATTGGCTTTTTAGCTAAAATTACAAAATCGCTTATCAAGCAATGCTAAATAGCTTTCTGACGTTTTGCACACACACACACACACTCATATATATATTTGTATGTTTGTAAGTAAGAACACGCGCATAGCTTCATACACAAATCCAAACAGTTCTTTTTGTTTTTTCCTTTTATCAGAGTTCTTTTTGTTTTCGCCCATTTGATAAGCCAATGTCAAGAAAGAATGAAACCTATTTGAACATTTATGCGGCCATAAATTTTATGGACACCAAAAATCGTCGGCGGCGTTTTTAACACATTCTTAAGCTACCCATAATGCCAAAGCAAACAAGCACGTCTTTTATGATGTATACACTTGCATATAAATAAATAACGGTAAATTTACCTCTGCGGCATTTTGCTGTGTTAAATATTTATTATTATTATTATAAATATTAATATTATTATCACTTGCAAACACTTCACTTGATATTATCACGAGATGTACGATCGTTAGTATTAAGTGAATGCTCAAAAAAACTAATAATTTTTTAGCGCGCGCGTGGTAGTGGGAGGAAGGGAGGTAGGGAGACGCGAGGTACGATCGGACGTAGCTCAACACTGGCTGGCAGCTAACGGCAAGCGCACACAAAAGCCACAGCCAAGCAACTGAACCAACCCGACAGAGACCCAAGAAAAACGCCGCCAAGTTGAGCGGGCGAATTGGTCAATGGCAGCAGGCAGCAACAGCAAACAGCAGCGGCAACAGCAGCAGCGGCAGCGCCGCTCGCGCCGAGGCCAACGTCAACGCCGAGCGCGCTTTTGTATGTAATGCTAACGTAGTTAAAAAACAAAACTTGACGAGCTTTGTGTTGTTGTTTTTTCGTCAGCTTTCTTTAGGTGCGCGCTCTTCGCTGATAGCCGCGTTTATCAGCCAACTGCGCGGTTGGCATTGACAGCATAGCATAACCATAAAACGTTTACAAAATTGCCTTTGGTTTGCTTTTTGTTTTTGTTTTTGTTTTATTTTACTTTTCTTTTCTTTTTTTTTGCTTTTTGCATACACAGTTTTTGTTGCTTTTATTTTTTGTTTTTGGTATAAAAAAGTAGTACAAAAGTGTTTAATGCTATTAATTTGTGGACTTCAATTTAAATACGTGGATTTGTTTACGAGAGATGAAACAAGTGTGCAAATATAAACAAATAAACGTCTGTGCCCCCGCCACCCTCAAACAGGTGGGCGGAAGGCGTGTGTGTGTGTGTTTCTGTGTGCTAGGGTGTGTATGTTGTAAGTGTGTGTGTGTTGGTGTGTGTCAGTGTATCGTGTCTGTGTCTGTGGCTGGGTGTGTGCGTGTGTGTGTACTTGTGGATCTTGGGGACTGCGTTTATTTACTCGCCGGTCATCATCTCCATGAATTCTGTAAATTAAACAAAATGACAGACATTATTTAAACGAAAGCCAGAACTAGAATTGAAGTATTTTTAAATTAATGTTTATATGTGTGCATGTGTGTACTTGTGTGGGAATGAATGATCAGTTAAATAAATTAATTACAATTTTCGCTTCTTTCTATCGCCATTTATGATCAATCTACAATCGAAGTATTTAAAAATGAATAAATTTGTATATAACTTATCGAGGGTTGGCTAATAAATAAGAAAAACTTTAATTTTTTAATTAGCATTTTAGCTATCTAGTTAATGAAAAATTAATTAATCATTGTATTAAAATAATAAATGTACATAAGTTATTATTTTAAATATGATTTCATGTTTTTATAATTTTTTGTTAAATATTTGTTGTAATGCGAAAAATAAAAATAAATTGATTAATTAAAATCAATAAACTTTCATTTTTTTATTAATTTGTTATTCAATAAATTTACTAAAAAAATTAATTGATTTCTTTAAAAAAAATAAAATTATGCGAATATTATTTCAAACATTTATTTTTTATAAAAAAATTTAAAAAAATTCATTAATTATATTAAATTAATTAGGTGAATATTTATTTATGTATTTGCTGTTTTTTTTTTTTAATTATTTCTTTATATATGTATATATAAAGAATATTAGTTTATTTAAATAAATAAATGAACTAATCATTTTTATATACAATACATAAATATTTTTGTTATTAAATTTTTATTTTATTATTTATTTAAATATGTTCACTTTTAATTTTTAATCTTCTATCAGCTTCACTTCAAACTTGTAACTTTTCACAACACTTCCAAATACCTAAATATAAATAAATATTTAAGTATTTAAAATATTTTTGTTTTTCCACATTAATATATATTGGCATATACATAGATATATACCATAGATCTGTCACTGTTCCTATAAATAGCATCGATATGCTCCAAAAAAAAAAAAAACGATCAGGCTGTCATAATCGAAAACTCAAGATCAACCGAACTGCGTTGTCATATAGAACATCTAGCTGATGTTTACAATTAATTTATGAACGCTACAAAATTGTGGGTGTGCGCACATGTGTGTGTGTGTGAATGTTTGTGTTTGTGTTTACGTGGGCGCTTTTCGCAAGCTATTAGAATTGATTCCATGAGATACATATGTATCTATGTTTCTGTGTTTCTGTGTATCTGTGTATCTGTGTATCTATAGCATACTCACCATCGAAATCAACTGTACCGGAACCGTCGCTATCGATTTCCTCGATCATAATGTCCAATTCCTGTTCGGTGAGTTGGTCGTCGAGCTCCTTGAGGATCTCCTTCAGGCAGGTGGTGGGAATGAAGCCATTGCCCTGTTTATCATATAAACGGAAAGCCTCGCGCAGCTCCTTCTGCATGGCCTCAGCATCCTCCTCCACAATGAATTTGGCAGCCAGTTGCACGAACTCACCGAATTCCAAGCGACCAGACTCTATTAACAAAGTAGATAATAATTTTTAATATATAGATACAGCTAAGAGCAGACTCTATAATTAAAAGTAAAATATTTTTGTTTTTTCCCTGCTAAAAATTCCCTAATGAAAAATCTGATAATAAATTTAAAAAAATAAATAAATATTGTAGCCTATAATTCTAGACCAAATAAAAAGCTCAATGAATTTACGATAGTATTAAAGGTGAGTGAATTACGGCCGTGTATTTAGACTACCTGAACGACACCTGCTAATGGTGGTGCTATGGCTTATTTGATAACTAAACCAATACTTACTATCCTCATCGACCTCCTCGATCAGTTCCTCCAGAATCTTCTTGTCGAAGGGCTGGCCTGGAGCGAGATAAATCACAACCAAAATTACAGGGTATCTGCTTAAATGTTAGGGCTCTTCGCACTTACCCATCAAACGCAGAATATCAGCAACCATTTCGGTGGGTATGCTGCCAGTCTTCTGATGATCGAAGCTGTTGAATGCCTTCTGGAGCACGGCAATTTGCTCGGGTGTCAGATCCTCATCCTACGGCAGGATCTCATTACTAAAATGCTTTTGATTAAATAGCCACTGCACTTACCACGGCGCTCATGTTGTTGCTGTTGTTGTACAGATAAAATATAGATCGATCTGAGAGATTTCCTACGAAGCGATCACCACGGAGTATTCGTGCCTACTACAAAGCAACGCGGCTGCGTTTTCCAAAATATAGCGCAAAAATTATATTCAGATCGACTGTCGCTGAACTTGCCACAAATACAAATACAAAAACAAATACATGGCGAACGAAGCACGAATCCGAGACGTACATTTTCGGTATATGTAGCACATTTCCACGCCCGATGCCTGAATTTTATTGTTTTTTAGAAAGAACTGTAAAAGCGCGATCAAAAACAAAATTAAAAGACGACGACGACCAAAGCAGCCAACCCAGTCAGCCACCCAGCCAGGCAGCCAGGCAGTCGGGCAGTCTGAATGTGAGCCGTATAGTGGTTTTCCACACAGACAGCCAAAGCAGCAATCACAGCCGATCCATAGGAAGCAACAGCAACAGCAACAGCAGATGGACAGCAGCAAAGAGGGAGATGCCTATGGAAGCTGCATGAATCGCCAGCTATAATGCGATGCGTTGCGCTCTTCATATACACAAATATATATAGCTACGAACAATATGTTACATATATATACTATATATATAGATATATATACATGTGTGTGTGTATATAGGCAACAGTTGCACGATGACAGCAACAACAACAACAGCAACACTTGAGATATGGAGAAATGCCCCAGTGAAGCATGCGCTAGACAACGCATAGAGAATTGCTCTCTACATTGAAAGCGAAAGGGCATATTGGTTCAATGATGAACTTGGCGTTTAGCCAAAAGGCCAATAGCAAAATTATATGCAGCTGCATATTCATATGGATGTCACTAAACTTTTGCATGAGAAGCGCAAAGAGAGGTACACTTAGAATGTGATTACAGCTGACGAGTCATATAAATGATAATTAGACATGCTAGAGTAGAGCCTAAGCCAATTAAAACTTAATAAACAGTATTAAACAGTATATTCACAAGTCATACACAATAGCCTTCGTCTTGAGAATCGCATAGAGAGGCAATTGAACAATATTTGAGCAGCACACGCTTCTGATTTTGCTTAGTCAACGCAACTTGATACTCAAGCAGCACTTCCAACTACATTATCTATTGCTTATCAATTTTATATAACATTTTTAACTCTATATATATCTCTTTCTAGTTTTAGTTTAATTTATTTATTTATTATACATTTATTAATCTTAGCCAGCATTTGGAATAGCTCGAAATTGTTTATTTAATTCCCACCCAAATGATTAGTCGATGGTTCCAATTAATGCGATATGATAGCGTGACGAAAATAGTAGCTACAACTAGAAATATATAACTTAAGTTATTGATTATTTTCATTGCTGCAAATCGAAGCAGATTAGTTGCGAAATTTGTTGCTGTTGGGCGTTGAATTGTTGGCAGCTCCGCTTTGATTGAGCAGCGCTGTGAGCGTGGCATGCGAGGAGCTAAGCGCTGAGCTGCTGGCAATTAGTTTGCCTTTGGTGGTGCTGCTGCCCACGACGGTGCCCTGCAAACAGGGCGTGGCAGCTGGTGTGGAGCCCAGATCCTTAGTGTCCTCCCCACTGGGCGTTGTCAGCTGCGGCTGAACGGGCGCGCCTTGTAGCAGCGCGTTGCGCAAGTGACTATTGTTGCCAGTCAACGCTTGTTGCTGTTGTTGCTGCAATTGTTGTTGCTGCTGCTGCTGTTGCTGCTGATTGCTGGCCACTATAAATGAATTGGTAATCAAGCCGCGACTCTTGATATTCAAATCCACAAAGAAAAGTTTCATTTTCTGTATCATTGTCTCCGTCACATTGAACGTGAGCATCATGCTGAGATCGATGTTGGTCTTGTGCCGATAGAGCTCATGAGTTTGCTGCAGCCGGCAGACCTCGTCGTAAATAAGAAACAAGAAGCGTGAACTGCGATTCTCGGCGGCTATAATGCCCCGAGCAGCTAACCATTCCCGATCCTCAGCGTCGGGCAGATAGCGTATAATCTCTGGATGTTTGCTGGCCAAACGGGCGCCGCCCAGCTCCTTGCCATCAATGCTAAAGCCAAAGGCGAGATTTGCCTGCACGTCCAGCACAAATTTGGTGTTCGTATTGATTTGTGCGGTGTTCCAGAAGATTTGACGACGCACTGGCGTGGGCAAAGGTCCACTAATAAGAGGCGTGCGTTGTAATTGTAATGATTGCGACTGCTGCTGCTGCAAATGTTGCTGTTGTTGCTGTTGCAATTGCAGCTGTAGCTGCTGCTGTTGCTGCTGTTGCAGCTGCAATTGTGGTTGCTGTTGCTGTTGCTGTTGTTGCTGCTGCTGCTGAGCAGGCACTGGCATGGGCTTGCCTGCAGCTACGGCATAGCCCACATTGTTGACAAACATTTTGCTATTGTTATATTCATGAGCCTTTGCGGGTCGCTTGAGCGCCAAACGCTGCTGCTCGCCAGCAACAGTTGCTGTTGCGCCAATAGGACGCGGCTGGCGTAACACAAAATTCGTATACTGCGCTTTGGCATTCTCCAACAGAGCACACGAGGACATCTTTTGCAACGTTTCCTCATTGACCGCATGCTGTCCGAGATTCTCTTTAATGTTTCCAAATGCGGGCTTGAAGTAGTTCTAAATGAAGTAATAATCAAGCTTAGCAGGGGTTTTATGTGTTAGATCGTTGCCACTTACGTTCATATAACGCTTGATTATGTCATTGACTTCCGTATCGAAAGCCTGTTGCACGCTGATGCGCAACAACTCCAGAGCTCGCATTGCCGACTCGGCGCTGCCGCCGCTTTCCAAGTTGTGCACGCCATTGTAGCGTTGTCGTATGCGCTGCAGCATGGTCTCTGCCATATCTGGGGTGGTTACATACTTCTGTGAAGTTGGATGAAGAGGTTTTTAGTTAAAGCAATGCTAGAAGTTGTTGTAGAAGGCATGAAATATTAGTTGAGGTGTCAAAGTGGCCGAGATCAAATGAGCCTTTTGCTAAGTTAACTTAGCAAGGAGATTTCCTGATTAAGCCATTTAAGATGATAGTGACTACCTGTAAGCTATACATATTAAAGCTACTAAACCCATTCTGATAGGACTTTGTCCGAAGTAAAGTTCAATATTCTAAAAAGAACAAAAAACTTGAAATGAAAAACAAATTTCTATGAATTTTTCTTATGAAATCGTGTCCTCAATACAGTTAATTGGGTTAACTGTTCCAGATAATATATTGACACGGCATTTGATGTCAATCAATAAATATTCATATCTACACTTAATCGGGTCACCTGTGGAGCGTCAAGCCTCCAACTAGGTATACAAAGAAAGTGTTCAAATTATAGTTCTACTAAATATGGAATATATTTTGCAAATATAAATTCAAATATTCATCTAATAAAACAAAATATACATATATAAAAAAAAACAAATAATGGGTATCTTGAGTGTCAGCTACGCACCAGTGTGGCATCCGTTCCATTGAGTACAGTCGTCTCTGTTGTCGTTGGCTCAGTTTCGGTGTGTTTCATGGGACTGGCGACACGCGTGTCCATGGAGTGTGTTGTCTGATTGGAGCAATCGGAGTCGTCCGATGAGGAATTGTTCTGCAATGCTGCAGGTGAACGTTGCTGTGCATCGCTGCTGATGTTGTTGCTCGCTGTGCTCGCCGCATCGCTTAGAATCTTCCAACTGCGCTGTATAACCATTTTTAGTTATTTTGTTCGTTTAGTTTTTTGTTAATTTGCAAAGGTTTTCATTTGGTTTTAGCTGCACTTGAACTGCTGAGCTGCTTTTTATCTGGGCTGCCTGCTGGCCAGGGACCAAGGTCTGCAGTGCGCATGCGCGATTGTGCCACCACCACCAGCAGAGCTCAAGCCCCCGACCCACAAAAACGAAACGAAGCTAAGTGAAGAAAACGTTCAACAGCTGCTACTGCTGACAGCTACGGCTGGCTCTGGTGCTGGTGCTGGCTCTAGTGCTGGTGCTGGCTCTGGTGCTGGCTCTGGTGCTGGTGCTGGTGCTGGTGCTGGCGCTGTCACTGCCGGACTACAGTCCATGTCCAGTTCACCAAGCTCCAGACGTCGCTGATGATCTAACAGATTACGCAACTCAGCATATTCCGCCATCTCATCGTCTTGATCCATGGCAGTTGCATCCGCAGCAACAACTGTAGCTGCAGCTAGTTCTTTAGCTGTCCCGTTTGCTTTGCCAGGTTTCTTAAACTGCTGTCGCTGTGCCAGCAACTTCTTGTCAAACTCATCCATATATTCGAGCGCTGCACTGGGCAGATAATCATCTGGAGCTTCATAGCCGCTGTGCACTGGCAGACTGAGCACATCGGGCAACATATAGGCGAATAGCCAACAAACTAAGGGTGTGCTGCCACAGGTGTAGCTGGCCTCCTTGTGATAGAACAGCAGACCGTCCAGCTGTGGCTGATTGCCCTCCCATTGAGGATAACGTTGCAACGCTTGCTCCACGGCGCTGGCATCCTCAAAGTCATAGTAGTCCAGCAACTTGAAGGGTTTCTCATTGCGTTTGCTACGCTCGTTCAGCTCGCCGTGCTCATCGAAGCGCGAGCGCAGCCAAAAGAACCGAAAATTTGCATCACAGTCGAGCAACTGCTGCTGACCAAACGAAAGCGCATCCAGCACATAAAATGTATCTAATTCCTGAACATACACGCAGTCCAGCACAGTCTTGAACTTCTGCACGTAACCATCGCCTGGCAGCAGTGAACGCAGCTGCATGATGATGCGGCCTGCTTTATTGTAGATCTTCGTGCGGCCGTTGCTGGCCATAACCAAACAGCGTTTGCCCACCGGACAGGGCAAGAGCAGCCAATCGCATAAGTTGTCGGGACGATGGCGCAGCCACTCTGATTGCTGCAGCCTCAAATGTGGGGTCTTGCTACCATTGTTGTTGATCTTGGTATTCTTGTTGCGCTGCCTGCGTTTTTTCTGTTGCGTTTTACACTGTACGCTGGATGTTCCCTGCTCTTGCTCATCTTCGTCAGAGTCTGAGTCTTTTACGTGCCGATGCACATCTTGTTGCAATTGTCGTCGCTTCTTTTGTTCATAGAGAAACTGTTGTTGGCGTAGTTTTTGCTGCTCGCCAAGATCTACGCTCTTCTTGTACAGTTGTTTGTAATTATTGCTCATTTTAAAATTGCAAAATTCGCACTAAAAACAAAATTCACCGGCGTTGCAATTTCTATTTTGACATTCTGACAGAGCCACGGTCACACTATCGATAATTGAATAACTATCGGTATAGCTACACTATAATCGAATAACATCGTTTAAGCAGCTGATTGATGTCCACTGGATATTTAATTTGCCGGCTGAGTTGCAATATTTATCGTTACATTACCTTAAATGCATAATAAATATGAATAAGGCTTCACGTCTGTTCTGTCCCGCACTGGTAATACCCAAAAATGCAGTTGTCAAACAAACGGAACAACTGTCACTCAGTCAAAAGGTAAATTTCACGTCATGTTACGAAAGCAAAAAGTGAACTCTCGTTAGATTATGATGTTTCCATTTCTAGCTCTTGACTGAGCTTGGCCTTGTCAAGCCAGGCAGCAATGGCACCTACCAAATTATGCCCATTGCCCAGCGCGCCTTGGACAACTGTGTTAGTCTGGTACAACGCAATATGCAAGAGGCTGGCGGCCAAAAGATAAGCCTGCCCGTCTTAACGCCTACGCAACTGTGGAAGAAGACAGGCCGCCTGGATGGAGATATATCCGAGTTCTATATGGTGCGCGATCGCAGTGGCAAACAGTTCTTAATGAGTCCAGTAAGTAAGCTTTATCTTAAGGTTATCATATCTATCTTATATGTTCTGCAGACTCATGAGGAAGCGATCACAGCTATGTTGGCCACAACCGCGCCCATATCCTATCGCCAGCTTCCTTTGCTTCTATACCAAATTGGTCCCAAGTTTCGAGATGAGCTGAAGTCACGCTTTGGCTTGATGCGCGCTAAAGAATTCCTCATGAAGGACATGTACACTTTCGATGTAACAAAGGAGAAAGCGGAGCTCACTTACGCAACAGTTAGCGAAGCCTATGAACGCTTCTTCAGGCAGCTGGAGGTGCCTTTTGTTAAAGGTGCGTTGTCAGCCCTTTTGGTATATAGCCTTAATATATATACAAAATTCGGTCTTCTAGTTGAGGCTGCCACGGGCATTATGGGCGGCAGCCAGTCGCATGAATATCATTATATTTCACCCGTGGGCGAGGATACGCTGCTCAACTGCAGCTCATGTGGCTATGCAGGCAATGCAGAAGTCTTTGAGCCAGATGCTAGCAGCACATGTCCCACCTGTCGGAGCACACAGCTGAATCGCGTGCGTGGCGTAGAGGTGGCACACACTTTCCTGCTAGGCGACAAGTACTCAAAGCCTTTGGGCGCCACCTTTCTCAACACCTCAGGCAAACCGGAAACTCTAGTCATGGGCTGCTATGGCATAGGCATAACACGTATCATCGCTGCAGCGCTGGAAGTACTGTCCACAGAGCATGAACTACGCTGGCCCACGCTGCTGGCACCCTACGATGTCTGTCTAATTGGACCGAAGCAGGGCAGCAAGGAGCAAGTGCCAGCGGAACGTCTAGAAAACGATTTGCTGCAGCAGCTTACACAAATCTGCGGCGATCAGCAGCTGCTGCATGATGACCGCAAGGAGCTGACCATAGGCAAACGTTTGCTGGACGCCAAACGCTTAGGTCATCCGCTTACAATTGTTGTGGGCGCCAAGGCAATGCAGCAAGACGCGCCCAAGCTAGAACTGCATGCGAGTGGCTCGGAGAAAATTGAGTTGAACATAAATGAAGTGTTGGAGCGGGTAGCCTTGCATGTGCGGCACAAGCAGCAACTGTTGCAGCAAATGCCCAGCAGTGAAACGGATGTGAGAATAAGACAAACCGTTAGCCATGTACATTAGCTTTATGTTTATAATAAAGATAACAATAACGCAAAACAAAACATGTCGAAGATACGCTGGTTAGTCCACCAGCTAGTTCTCCGTGTAGTCCGGCTCGGGTATCTGCGGATATATCTGCACCTGCTGCTGTGGCTTGCGTGGTGGCGGCGGTGGTTTGGTTATCATACTCGTATACGACCAGGGCATCTGATTGCGCAGCTCCTCGCTGATGCGCGGATTCGTCGGCTGCACTGGATAAATTTCCGAATAGCGACTATTTAAAGCTGAGCCCGCGGCCAGCTGCTGCACTGCTGGCGACATGGGTGAGACGGAGCGTGGCGTGGTTGGATCCGTGGCGGGATAGTTAAGCTGATCGGGATGCGCATCGGTGTTGCGATAGGTGCTTATATCTTGCTGTGCTGGCGACTGAGGCTGCTGCTGTTGCGGTAGTGGCGGCAGGACCAACACTGGTGACTGCAGCGTGGTGCGATCATCAGGCCGGTAACGTGAATCCTGTCGCTCCAGCATATCTGAGGTCTGCGCTGGTATTATAAGAGGCGAGGGCTTCGGACGTACTTGCTCCGGATACTGAGGCTCCTGTTCAAACTGTGGCGTTAGAGACGCCGGTGCCGTTGGCTGCTGCAAATGCTCCTCAAGTATCACGGGCTGTGGCGCCTGCTCTGGATTGGCTGCCTTCCTACTGCTTTTCTTGGCTGCTGTCTGCTTGGCCAGAATATTTGATAGGGATAGACAGAAGACGCCGCCGATCACGTTCAGCAGCCAAATAATCACCACACGACTGCTCAGGCAGAGGAGCACAATGGCAGGCGTGGAAAAGTAAACTCCAAATGTTTCCAAAACTGTAGTGACTCCGCTGGGTGCTGTAGGATCCAGTGTGGCGCCAACGTAATTAAAGGCTTCGTTCAGGCCCTGTGCAACGAAAAATACTTTTAGAGAATTCTTTAGCGGATGAGTAGCTATGCGGTCTTACCAAAGTCTCTGATATGTCCAAGCCATGGTAGACGGTGGCCACCACGTCCACCACGCAGCCAGCCAGCACGGATAGGAACCAGGGCCAATAAACCGTGCCGGAAATCAATTTGGTAGTTGCGAAGCACAGGGTTACTATGGTTAGAGGAGTCCTTAAGAAAATAGATCTTCCTCACATATATTGGCACTTACATATGATCAAGGTGGATGAAGCCACCCACAGGCCGCTGATCACGGCATAGGTCACCAGAAAGATGAACTCGCGATTGGTTATAGCAAACGACTTGGCCCAATCCATGGTTAACTCGTAGCTTTGGTCAATGTTATTGTAATTCAGTGCAACAACCGGATTGCCACACTCTTGCTCTGTTGGAGTCATAGCGTGAGAAGAATGTAGAATTTTTAGCTAGTTAAGCTACTTACGCACGAAATAGATCAAGTTCATGGCAAACTGGAATGGCTCAGCAGCGATATCCGATTTGTCTTTGCAATCGCGTAATGTAATGCCCCATATTGAGAGTCCTAAATATACGAGTCCTTGTACCTATGAGGAAATCAAATTGAATCAATGAAGAGATGATAAAAGGCTTAATAAAAGAAAAGAGGTGGAAGAGGGAAGACGGAAGAGGGAAGAGATAAGAAGGAATAGGGAAGAGGGAAGAGAGAAGAGGGTAGAGGGAAGATGGAAGATGGAAGATGGAAGATGAAAGGTGGAAGATGGAAGATGGAAGATGGAAGATGGAAGATGGAAGATGGAAGATGGAAGATGGAAGATGGAAGATGGAAGATAAAAGATGGAAGATGGAAGATGGAAGATGGAAGATGGAAGATGGAAGATGGAAGATGGAAGATGGAAGATGGAAGATGGAAGATGGAAGATGGAAGATGGAAGATGGAAGATGGAAGATGGAAGATGGAAGATGGAAGATGGAAGATGGAAGATGGAAGATGGAAGATGGAAGATGGAAGATGGAAGATGGAAGTTGAAAGAGGGAAGATGGAAGATGGAAGATGGAAGATGAAAGATGGAAGATGGAAGATGGAAGATGGAAGATGGAAGATGAAAGATGAAAGAGGGAAGATGAAAAATGGAAGATGGAAGATTGATGATGAAAAATAAAAAATGGAAGATGAAAGACTAATAAAATACGATATACTCTATACGATATATACGATATACGATATTGAATAGACGATGACAGGCAAAAAGTTTCAATATCCATATGGGGACTTAACACCAGCAATCAAATCTAATTATTATTTCTTAATTGAAATAATACGCTAAAAATTCTATAAGTTATCAATTAAATGCATGGGAAATTTTGATTAATATATCATGTAGATTGTTTATCGAACATGTGAAAAGAGTTCCTTATCAAGAAATGATTATTTCCTTTAGCACTCAAGAAAAATAGGCTACATACATCCAAAATTCGAGGAAGTAATAAAATTGACTGTTTTGTAGATCGATGAATGACTAATGTGTGGCTTTTATGAAATTGAAAACAGTTTAAGTTAATGCTAAATTTAGAGCTTATTTTATGTGATGAGACAGGTCTGCCTATATGGACAGATAGGGGAACTTACCAATATGACAACGGCCATAAATAGCATAAAACACTTGGCGAATCCCACGCTGACTCCCGCCATAATTCCTTTTTGGCCAGTTGCTATATAAGTTCGTTCAAATGCCAATTGGCCGGGCTGCTAAACACCTCGATAAGACCGTGCGACTGTAAATTCAATTATAAATTAGGAAAAAGCTTTGGCACTCACTCACACACACACACACATTTATATCTTATCGGTTTAATGAGTTCTTGGCATTTACTGTAAACTCTATTCAAATTCCAATTGGAATTCCAATTCAAACTGCAATTACTTAAAATCGCTTTATTTGCTTTTGATATAGTTTACAGCTATATATTGTTATCACACGGCACAAATGAGTCACAGCACTTGAGCGAAATTACACTGTCGTACATGCTTGTATTCTTTTTTTATTTAGAAATCAGCTACGCTGGGTAGGGTAGTCACAGCAGTTGTTATTTTTTTATACAAAATTATTATTGTTGTTGTTGTTGTTGTTGCTGTTGTTGCTGCTTTTATCTCGCTCACCGTTTGATATTCTAGGTGTATTGCTGTTTGCACCTGCCCCAGTTGCGTACAAGCGGAAAAGCGTTGCGCGTGCACCGGCTGCTTTTCTTGGACTGAGAGCCGGGCAGCAGCAATTCATCCGTCCATTGAATAGCCATCGACAATTGCCTTGGCTCGGCTGTAATTTGGGCTCGGCGATAAGATAAGCCTAATGAAATTTTAAGGGTAAAACTGCGCGCTATCAAAACTATGTGCTGGGCCAAAGCCGAAGACTGGGCCAAGACGCCAATCGCCTCGCCGCACTGCCAATTGTATATGTATTTCAATTACTTATCAAATACCCCGTATCTAACACCTTTTTTCGCATTCTGTTTACTTTGACTTAATACATTTGAATTATATATTAAATGCCATATTTATAACAATTTGTGCTAATTTTAAAAATGTTTGCCTGCTGTTTGGCCGTAACTGTAAATAGCAACAATTAGCCTCCCTTAGTTTTGCAGCACGCTGCGTATACTTAATATCCGCTATTCTGGTCATGTGGACTGCCCGCCTGACGTCCACCTCGTTCCCTCTTGAATAGTTTGTGCTCGTGCTCGTCAGTTTATCAATTCCGCGATCGTGTTCTGATTGATTGCTGCGTGGCCTCAAAGGGCAGCAGTGGAGCCAAGGGGAAAGCTCATATTCAGATCCATATATTGATGAATCAGCCAATGGGTGCGTGAATCCCAGCGCAATATGCGCAGATAGGAAAGAGTATCAAGTGCTTGTCCAAAGCACAAAACATCACAAAAAAACCCAAACGAAGGGAGTAAATATTTACAGAGCTGTAATGAAGTGCGACAAATGCAAAGTCGAATAAACACGAAAATACAACTTGAATTCAATAAATACTTGAATAGAATTGGTGTATGAATAATAGATAAGAAGCTAATAGACAAGAGATAGAGAGCGAGACAGAGAGAGAGAGAGAGAGATACTGATATCTAGCTAGAAAGAGAAACAAATAGAGATTGCAGATTAGCGCAGATTACAAGATTGAGATTTGTAGAGAGAGAGGAAGATAGAAATAGAAATAGAGATAGAGATAAAGAAAGAATTATATAAATCAGAGAAAGAGATAGAGAGAGCAGCAGAGAGAATGGGAGTGAAGGAAAGTGAGAGAGAAGGAAGTAGAGAGAGATAAAAAATAATTAGGGAGAATTATATAAAAGAGAGATAGAGAAAGAGACTAAGACAGAGAAGGAAACATAGAAAGAGCAATAGAAAAAGAGAAAGAGGCAGATAGAGGAAGATATATAAGCAGAGAGAGAGAGCGAGAGAGAGACAAATAAATAATGAGAGATAGAGAGAGCAAGATATAGCTAGACAGATAGAGAGAGAGAGAGAGAGGGAGGAAAGGAAACTATAAATAGAAAAAGAGGGACATAGTGAAAGAGGGGAAAACATAAAAATATAAATATAATAGAGAGACAACAAGAGAGACAGAGAAAGAAAGAGAGGGAGAAAGAAAAAAAATTAAAAATAGAGAAAAATAACAAGAGAGAAAAAAAGGCTAAAACAGTAAAAGCTAAATATAATAAAGGAAACATAGCGAGGTAGAGAGGGAACAAGAAAGACAGAAAATGAAATACCAAGTATAAGAGATATATGTATATAGATAGATAAGAAACAACTGATATGATTAATTAAGATACAAAGAATGTGAGTAACAGGAAGACAGAGAAAGAGAGAGAAAGAGAGAGAGAGATAGATAGAGATAAAGAGAAAGTTCGAAATCAATTGAAAGAAGGTGAAAGATAAGTTGAGAGGAGAATGGTCAAATAGGGAGCAAAAAAGGAAATGCTAGCTTAAACAATGAGAGAGAAACTCTAGGATCAGCTAGTACATACACAGTTTAACCCACTTACACACTCTTAAACACTTAAATGATTAGGAAGAATATTTAAAAGTGAGCCTCTTCTTCACCAAATGCCCTCAGCTGTCCTTGACTTAATTGTATTTATTTATTGATTTTATTTGCATTTCATTCAATTTGAACATTTTCCCTTTTGTCCATTTGCATTACTCACTTTATGATTGATTACGTTTTCAAAATTACTATTCAATTGCGAAGTCTCAACTGATTAACACTTCGTTAAGCAAAAATAATAATAAATAAAAAAATTGCACTCGAGTTGCGGTTCGCAGTGCTACACACCCCAACAAAGTTGGGCAATGTTTGGCTAACCCAATGGAATACGCTGGGAATTGTTTGCACTCGAGCATTGAGTAAGCTTTCGATCGAGAACTGAACACAATGGCAAAAGCGGAAAAGCGATCTCAGAGACAAGCGGGAAATTCATTTTCTTTCGCTGGCCACGTCGCTGGGAAAACTTTTGCTATGCTCGACTGAGTCTAGCTCGCTGGGATGCTAATCCAAAAGGCAGTTTTGCCGTATGCTTTAGCAATTAGAGCCTCAAATTTGGCGGACCCCCCACCTCCCTCCCTACGCTACTCACGATTTGTTGTGTGAATTTAAAATTTAAATAAAAAAGGCGCCGCCAATTCGCTGTTTGGGCTTCAGATCAAATCACATGACTTTAATTCAACTTAGCGTGATATAAATATGTATATGTATGTGTATATGTATGTGTGAGTGAGTGAGTTGGTGAGTTGAGAGTTGGCTAAGACTAGAGTGTCTCCGAAATGGTTAGACACGTGCGGTCAGTATGACAGGCTCAGCTTCTACCTCGGCGACCTTAGCCTTGAGCTTCTCCTCCACCTGCTTCAGCTTCACAATTGGCTGATCTGCGGCGGTGGTGCTGCTGCTGGTAATGGTGGTCGTGGTGCTGGTAGTGGTGCTGCCGCTGCTGGTCGCCTCGCTGGTGGTTGCCTTCTCTGTGGTGCTGGCCAGCTCGGGCTTTGCGCTGGTTGAGGTGCTCTGCGCCTCGACACTCTCGACTGGCGCCGTTGAGGTAATGGAGGTCTTCGTGATGCTAATCTTGGTCTGTTTGCCATCGCTGCTATCCTTGTTCGCATCCTCGGTGATGGTGGCCGATGTGATCTTGGTGTGATGCACCTGGAAGGTGGGTATCAGGGGCACAGAGACGCCGCTCTGTGGCAGCACAGAGACGCGATCGATGATCAGATGGGCGGGTCCGCTCTCATCGCTCTGCGGCACCTTCTTCGTGGTCTGCAGCAGAATTTTACGCTCCTGAGCATTGTCGGACACCTCGACGGCTGGCGTGGCAGGCGCAGACTCATCAGAGCGCTTCACAACGCTATGCTCATTGGTCTCCAGGGCTTCTGGTGCGGCTGGCTTTACCTCAGCCACCTCCGAACCTGCTGCGCTGGCACCGTTCAAGCTGAGCGCCGACTGAAACAGACTGTTCTCCAAATCGCCAATTAGTGTCTGGAATGAGACCTGCTTCAGCTGGCCATCAGCATTGGCCACCACCTGACGCTTGACCACATCCTGCTCCGCCTCGCGATCCACAGGCGCGTTTCGGCCCAAGCCCAAAAACAGATCGTTCAGATCAAAGGGCGCAGCACAGCTGCAGCTGATAGCAGCTACCAGCAGCTGCAAAGGAACGGAGAGAGAAAGCATCGATTAGCTGAAGATCAGTGCAATGGCAGTGGCTGCTCCTACTCACAGTGAAAATCAATGCGCACTTCATGGTCGTTGCTATTGAATTGAATTTCCGAGTTGTTTTCACCACAAAGTCCAGATTGATAATAAGTTCGCTGACGAGATGTGTGCGCGTTTTTAAACTTAACGGCGGACGGCCTAAAAAAGTTTCAGCTAAGCTTTCAGTTAGCACTCTTCAAACGTGGCTCAGAGCAAGCGAGATACAATTCTTGTTTTTGTTATTTATTTTTTTTTTGTTTTGTTGAACTGGTTTCTAGAAGAAAAACCTGCGAATTCTCCCTTAATTGCGGAGTTTTTTCTTTAATGATATTAAATATTTTTTCTAGAAGTTCTATGAAGTCTATATGCATGGAACGATGTATGTGTATATCTGTGTATATTCAAGGGAGCTCTACCAAATTAATGGTAATAGATACAACCTTCAGCTATGAAAGAGAATCGACTCAAGGATTGAACTTATTGCTCTAAATGTCAGTTGCTGCCAAAGGAAAGACCGGGCCAAGCTGAAGCTTTGGACTGTTTACTATTTTGTAGCGAAGTTCATCTGAAGCATAAGCTGTCAGTTAATTGAATTAACATTAGTTTGTTATATGGCTTTAATTGATTTTTATTCGTTTCCAAGAAATCGTATTAAAAATATACGTTTTTATTTACGAAAAATTGAATTTGCTGCAAGTGAAATTTGCAGCCGACTAATTTTAGCGGAAAGCGATGCAAAGCTTAAACAGCCTCTAATATGTTGGTCACAATTGTTTACTTAGCAGTCGGACGAACTGAGGGGGATTTTCGAGACTTGATTGCCTGTTAAATGGCACAAAGAGCAATGAACAATTTGGATTAGCCTGGCAGCTGAAAGAGCTCGAAACTTTGAGAAACTCAGGTCAGGCAGCTGATGACTATTTTTGCATAACTTCAGATTTTGCAGCTTTATTTTTAAGCTCAAATATGTTAATTATTATTGAACTTAAGCTATTTGCTTCTAACGTGCGAATTGATCTATAAAACTTTCCACAAATCTTTTAATTGCTGCCCGAAATAAAACACGGAATTATTTGAATTCAGCTCCAGCGCGCTCATGAATGAAAAGTTGGGATTCGTCTGGTTCTATGTGGCTGTAAAGCAGCTCAAAGCAGTTGTTGCCTGCTTAAACAGAAAAGCAGGCAATGCCCAAGGCACCGCCCAGTCTCTACAAATTGAAAACTCTTTAATTTAATTAAAAAAAGCTCGAAATAATTATAGAAATTATAAATATTTAAGCCATGAATAACCGTAGCTTATCTCAGTTGAGACAAGTTAACGAAAATAAATAGAAATCAGCGAAGACTTTTTCCTAGTTCACACGCTGCGTATGAGTGATTTTCATAAGTCATTTAAGGCCCACGCTGCGTATGCGTAATGTTCTATGTTAATTTAGTCTAAAGTCTAGCTGAAATACTACAATTACCTGGCAATACGATGACCATCGTAAACGCTTGCGCAGCTTCGTAAGGCAAACACGCGTAACGCGTGGCGCGTGCAGTGTTCAGAAAGCGAGTGCGTCAGCTCGCTGGCAATGTTTATGAACCTATTTTTGGTCTAAGCCAGCGAGTAAACAACAACCTACGCGGCGCTTTACACCAAGCTGAGATTTGCGTAGACGGCCTCCGTTATTGATACAGAATATTGAAACGAGCACAATTAATTAGAGCCTGTTGACGGCGTAGCGTAGGGAAGAAGCAGCAGAAAACAATAGCTGGCCCCGTGCCCTGTGGGCCAGGCTACCTAGAAACAGTGAGCTCAGACTGGCAAAAAAAAAGAAGAGCAAAGGCAAACCTGTCAGCCAATTAACAGGTGGCAATAATTACGCGGAATCGCATCTCGCAATTCGCACCTGAACGACGACTATATAAGCCGATGATCCGCACTAATTAGGCTCAAACTTGCGAAGAACAGGCTAGGGAACAGAGCAACAGCAGCAGCAGCAGCAGCAGAGCCTATTTCGTGTAAGGGCAAACATTTAGAGGAGGCGTTCGAGAGATGAACACACAACATGCGATTCTAGGAGCCGCCGTGCTCGGCATGCTGCTCGCCTTTGGCTGCACGCTGCCAGTGCTGGACGCCAGCTCCGGGCTGGACAATGCCACGCTCGAGCAGCTGCAAACGAATCTCAATGATACGCCCAAGAATCTGTAAGTAACCAAATATCCAACACTGTACACTGAGCGAAAAGCAGATGTAAGATACAAGCTAGAAAAAAAAACTTTTCAAATTTGGCTTACAAAATTCTAAGTTGAAGAGACTCTTTAAGCCTAGCTCAATTAGTTTGAAATCAAAATTCTCTTTAAAGAAAACTAAAAATTTTACTTTAAGCAAATTTCAAACTCATTTCAAGTACTACAACAGCTTTATTTAAGTCTTCTAAGTCTTGCAAGATTGCTCAACAATTTTCCAATGTTCACATATATTTTCTCTCAGTGTAGCTATAAGCACCTACCTCGCCTCTACTCTAACAGCATTAACATTTATCTAACCTTCGCTCTTCATCCTTTCAGCTACGTGGTCAAGGCAGTGGTCTATGAGATAGGCATACTCACCGAGGTGGGCGACAATGAGACGGACTTTGAGAGTCAGGAGCGTGTGGATCTGACCTTCTACGATGCGCACACCAATCAGAGTCACATTGATCTGGGCAACATACCGCTGCCCATTCAGACGAACGTCTCCGGCCAGGTGCTGACGGGCATTGCACCGATCAACATTGGCGCCTTCAGCAGTCCGCAAGAGCTGCTGCAGACGCTGCCATTGACGGGGAGCATTGTCAATATAACGCACAGTGACACGGCCTTCTACCAGCTGACTAAGTCGAATACGAGCGAATTCGAGAAGCCACAGCTGCTCAGCGAGGATGCGTTGGCCAAGCTGACGCACGCCTCCGAGCTGTTCCCGCCCAACGGCTCGCTCAGCGGCCTGGGCGTCGCTGCCTCCTCCAATGACTTGGACAACAGTTCGGAGGAGCAATAAGTTGAAGCTGGACTCAAAATTGAAATTCTGATAACGAAGTAATGCAGTGCGTTGTGCTCCACATCATAAGACCCACATACATATCACATAAGCTTATTGTTAAACGTAGTGAATAAGTGTTATTAGCGACAGTGTTAGAAAAGACTGCAAGAGATGGAGTCCGTTAGGTAACATACATATCTAGAACTAGTAGAAAGTACCGCCCCAAAACATTGACTTTGCCATAGTCAACTCACTTTTGTATACGTAAAAATAAAAGAAAATGCAGCAAAGCAGCAACAACTCTTAAAAAAAAATGTTCGATCAAATCGATTTTTACTGACGGCCAGGCATGTGACTGAGGAAGAGCTGCTAAAAGCTTTCCATCCATTCACACTTCTCACATAAACTTGAATGCCCGTTCATATATGTTATATATATGCTATATATACACATACATACATACATATACATATACATATATATATATATTTATATATATATATATATATATATATATATATATATATATATTTATTTATTTATAGAAAGGTAAACACGTGTGATTATGATCTTGGCTTAATAACTTTCCTTCCGGTCTATCGATCTGACTACATTACATTTAATAGGCAGCCTCATTATTTTTACTCAAGTTTGAACCCGATTTCAGCTTCAACTTTTGGAGGTGAACTTAATTTTTCGCATTATTATGAAATAAATGCTATAATTAAACACAAACTGACAAAAAAACGAGATATTCCATGAGGCATACAGCCTAATTCACAATTAGCAAAAACTATATAATATCTATATATATTAATTATAGAAAAACTTCATATTATTGCATTGCTATATGTGAACAACATGATAGCTATACATATTAAATATAGCGATAAATATTTTAATATACGCAATACTTTTATATGCTAAAAAACTCAATATCTGATAATATTGAAAAACAAAAATAAAATTTTCAAAATACTTGTGGAAAACAAGAATTTATATAAAAATTTTAATTTTAAAAATTTAAATAAAAACAAATAAAATTTAAATAAAAATAAATTAATAAATGTTTATAAAATATATACAAATATATAAATTTTTGGGGAAAAACTTTTTTAAAATAGCTAAAAATTAATAATGTTCAAAATTTTCATTTAGATAAAATATAAGAGGTTTTATAATTTAAATCAAAAACTAACGCCAAGATAAGAACTCGCTTAAAGCCCATAAGTCGTGCAGCATAATTGAGTTTTCTATTAAACTTTCGAAATACACTTTGAGCTACATAAACACAGCAGCCGAAGAGCGCTATGTAGCTAACCTTAGCTAATTCACACTATATCTTACTCTACACTATATATGCAGCAATAGCATAATCAATAAAAAACAAACTATATTCAATTTTATATTAACTAGTTTTTAATTTTTCTCATTTTCATTTGTTGGTTTTGTTGTTTGTTGTTGTTGTTGTGTTTTAGTTTGTTTAACTGTAGTACATGATTTCTTACGTCCTAATAGATGATATACTTTATATTAATAGATATTATGTTATATATATATATATATATATATAAATATAAGTTTAAACTTGTACACGCAAATTAAAATGGTTGAACGTCTCAGATCAGTTAAGAGAACCACCCCGAATCGTAAAACTCCACTTCGATTTCATTTAACCCCCTTCGCACCCGCAAACCCCCTTTTAGAAAGCCTATTCAGCCCCATCATACTTCCGTATCTCATGCTCTTTACGTAACTTTCACACGACTTATCGATAACAATAGACGTGTCTATTGCTATCGACTTGCCATTGGCGTGTTATTGTGTATGTGTGCTTGTGTGTGTGTGTGTGTAATATGTACATACTGCAACGCACATTTAGATACTTGTATTCGTATATAGTATAAATAATATTTAGTTTTTAACTATTTTACATAGTCATGTAGACGATGCGCTCTAGCGGCTTCTTTTAAAATATATATTTATATATATATGTGTGTGTGAGTGTGTGTGTAATTGTGTGTGCTTAAAATGTATGTGTAAATTATGCATGGTATGGTAATTGTGTTTATTAGTAGTAGTAGCTACAATTTCAACATATGTGCACATGCCAACGTACATATATCAACTAAATCGTAACTAGAATCTGAAATATGTATCCGTATCTTTATCTGTATCTGTATCTGCTGTGTGTGTATCTGAATAATCATAGTCGTGTGTATCTGTATTAAGTGGTAACTTTTTCTCTTAATGATCGACGTATATTTAGGTTTAGGTTTAGGTTGCTTTGTGGTTTTTACTAAAAATTTCTTTTCCGCTCGCTTTATACAGTTCTGGCTTACTAACAAATCATAGATATATTATATTATATATATATATAGACGTTCGCGTCGGCGCAGCCTTAAAATCAAATAAAAACTAATCTTAACGCGCCAGCGGCCAAAATGCTGCAGCAAAAACTATGCGAGATTAGGTTTGTGTTTTTTCTTTTTTCCTTTCTTTTTGGTTAATCCAATGCGCCGTTTAATCTGTAAATTTGATAGATATATGTATGTTATTTGATAGAATAATATATATTGTTTGTCGACGACTTGCCTATAACATGACTCTCCATATTTGTGATTCGTGGCTTCGATGCAGGCTGTGGTATGATGGTGATCTCATCGTTGATCTTCAGCGGTTTTAGCAATGATTCATTGGCGGCTCCTAGCGCATTGCGCGCCATGCCGCCAGCACCACCAGCACCACCACTGCTACCACTGCTGGACTGTGCGCTATTTTTCTTGCTGTCCATTGCCTTTCGAGCCACAGTGCTATGCGCCGTATACACATGCGTTTCAAACTGTTTGTACATGCCAAAGGTAGCCGTGCAGACGGTGCACTTGTACGATAAATGTGCAGGTTTCAGGGTCATATGATGATCGCGCGATACGTGATTCAGTAGCTTCCATTGGTACATCTATATCATGGATTGCAATTAGAAGGGATCATAGAATTTAAATATGTAAAGACTTACCCTGCCACAGACAGGACAACGGCCAGCATCCTTGCCCTTGTTAGCCGCCTCCTGCATAGAGCTTGTTACTAAGCCATGCGAGCCCAGCAAATGTCTTTCCAGACCCTGATCCGTAAAGAAACGGAACTGACACTTCTGACAATTCAACGGTGGACGATTGTAGATCATCTTGGGATGTATCTGAAAAGCAAAATAGAGTGACATTAGCACCTACTCTAGCAGTAGATAATTGTTTTTACGCTTTACCTTCACTTTATGCATCCACTGCATGTGATTGCGCAGTTGTTCCAGATCTTTGATATAGCCATCGCATATCTCGCAGATGACAAACTGTGCCTTGTTGTTGCCGCCGCTGGGACTCTGGCCGGGCTTCATGCCAGCCGCCGCCGCTGTCGCTGGCGCCTTGCTGGACGAAGCAGCGGCCGCATTGCTGCCAGCTGCAGTTTGTCGAGGTAGTGGCGTTATTGAGATGCTCGGCTGACCCGCAATAGGCTTCTTCGACGCTTGCTGCAATTAGGTAAACATCAGTTAGATCTTGTAGATAAAATAGCTAAGGAGTACTGACCTGCACAAGCTGTCCGGCTGCCAATTGATAGCTGTTGGGCAGCGAGAGTGCCGCATTGGCAGCGCCAATGGCACCGCGAACAGGCGCAGGACTTCTGACCATATTGTTGGCATTGGGCATAGCCTTGGGCAGTTGTGGTGCACGCTGTCGCATCTTGGCCGCATTTTGTGCAGCCAACGCTGCGGCCTGTAAATTGCGTGCCTGTACGGCTGCCTGTTGTTGTTGTATGGTTGCCAGCGCTGCCTTTTGCGCCGCTGCCTGCGCAGCCATGGCCTATAAAGAGATAGAATAGTTAATTGATAATCTCCGACAGTTTCTCTATAACTTACCTGATAGGCGGTAGCTGTGCCAACCAGTCCATGCCGCGGCTTGATGCGTGGTATCTTAGCAGGCGCTTCCCAGTCGTTGGGCGGCGCCAGATTCAATTCCGGCCGGAACTTCTTGGCGCAAACCGGCTGATGGCGTGCCAGCTTCGCCTTGCCGTTATCCTCGAAGCCGCAGTTGGGACACGTGTGATACGGCAGCGGCTTAATCAGACGCGCCTTGATATTGTGCACGGCTTCCATGTGATAAACGATCTCAGTGGCATTTCGAATCTCAAATGTACAAAAGTTGCACTTATATAGTACGCCATTCATATGCGGCGTCTCGTAATGATTCGCCATGGAAAGCGCGGATTCGGATTTGAAATTACAGAATTCGCAGCGCTTCATTGTGAACTTGAAGGGGGCATTTTTCGTCTTCGACGCCTGCAGATTGCCGCTCAACGCATTGATTGCCATCTCAAAGTCCTTAGGATCTCGTGATAGAGACTTACGCATTTTACGCTTTTGCAATCGCAACAGATCCGACTGCACATATTCCTGCACCAGGCCAACGCCAATGTCCATAAAGAATTTACCCAACGGACTCTCAAAGTAGTTCTCCTGGCCGGGTTTTGCGGGTACATTGGATGCGAGACCGCCGGAAGCGGCGACTGCAGCGGCGGGTTTGATGGCGCTCTTTAGGGCGGAGAGATCATCGTTGGCCTCCTTGATTAACACCTTGGTGCGTACCCCTGACTCGGAGTCATCGTCATCATCGTCGTCGTCATCTTCGTCAGATTGCTCCGACCACGATTCATCGTCGCCGTTCTTCCGTTTCTTTTTACCTGCAGGTGCATTCGTTGTCGTCGTTCCATCTGCATTCGATTTATCCTCTTTGTTCTGCTCGGTCATCATATCGAACTCATCCACTTTGTCCGCCACAGCTAAGTCTTCGGCAGAGAGCGCATACTTTGTCTCAATGGCCCGGATGACCTCGCGTATATTATCATTGGGAGGCTTCTCATAGATGTAGGGCACAATAAACGATGGCGCCTCAAGCACGAACATGTCGTCCGTTAGACCTGGCAACAGATTCGCATTGTTCGTCATGCTGGGCAATCCGGCAGCGGTCAACGATAGTGTGGACGGTGTCAGCTGAACTGTGTTGCCCACTCCAGCTCCTACCATGCCGGCCATTGGCACCAGCTTAGGTGGCGTATTGCCCAGATTTGTGGCAACTCCAGTTACGGCGTTCGTTATGGTCACCGGATAGACAGCACCACCAACGCCTGCAATAGTTGGCCCCGCCTCATGCGGCATTAGAGTGCGTGCATCCTTTATGGTCAACTGGCCCAGACCAATGCCGACACCCGCTCCCATTCCTGATGGAGTTGAACTGCGCTGTCGTTTGCTATTCGGATGCAGGTCATCCATATCGCTTTTGCGCTTGTTTAGCGCCTGGTCGCTGGGCGAAATACTTGGCGGCGTATCATCCTCAATTACCACACAGTCGTCGTCATCATCGTCGTCCTGATCGGCTGTTGCTGGTGGTGCAGGTTGTGGTTGGGGTTGTGGTAGTGGCGGCGGCGTTGCCTTCGCAACTGGTGGCAACTTTTTGCTTTGCGGTGTCAGCGGCATTGCTGCCGTTTGCCCCGTTTCCGACTCTGAATCGGAGGGAATAAGCACTGCATCATCTGAAGAATCAGCGTTGCTTGACGCAACGGCTGCGGGCATGGCTTTTGGTTTGTTAGGAGTTGCGTTTGGCTTGAGAGCAGCCACGGTTGTTGGCTCTTGTTTCTGCTCCGTCAAATCTGACATATCCTCATCGCTGTCCTCGTCCAGATTAACCACGGCCCCTGCATCTTCACCATCATTGTTGTCATTGCTTTTCGTTGCTTCGGCTGCTGTTGCCTGTCCATTGGGTTTGACAGCTAGCACAGCAGCAGATTCTTTAGCCTTTGGGCTTTGTGTGAAGCCATTCATTGGCGTCTGATTCTTCTCCTTCTCTTGAACTTCCTCCTCCTCGGTATGCATTGCATCTCCATCGGCTTCCGAGTCGGTCACCGTTTTGGCTGTGCCACTTTGCTGGCTGCCCTCCTCGTCATCCACTTCATCTAGTTCATCTGCATTTCCCACACTCTTCTTCTCTTCCATTAGTGCATCTTCCTCTTGATCTGCTGGTAGCTGTGTTGCTGCACCCAGCGGATCTTCTGCATCGCAACTGTTTTCAGCAGTGCTGCCTATTTTTTCATCCTCAACATCTTCATGATCACCATTGGTGGTCACTTCCTCCTCCTCCTCTTCGTCCTCTTCATCATCATCTGCATTCTGTTTTGACTCTTTCCCATTGCCATTACCATTCTCTGTGGAACTGGAGCTAGTTATTTGTGAGTCACCCTCCTCAGTGTCATCCACATCCATGGACTCTGTCGCTGCATTTGGATTTGGCTTGCTATCATCATTGCTGTTGCTGTTGCTATTGCTGTCGAGCGGCAGCTTTGTTACTTTAACTGAATCTCCTTCTGTGTCCTTTACGAGCATTATCTGCTGGTCCGTCTCCAGATCTGGTTTGGAGTTTGTCTTCTGCTCATTTTGAGTCTCAGATGTGCTGCTGCTTCTGCTGTTGTTGTCGTCGTCGTCGTCGTTGGCTGCCCCCTTGGCAAGTATTTTGGTTGTGGGCTCGACAACGCCCTCCGGCAAAACGACGTCGACTTCAGTCATTTGTTATTTTGTTCTCTGCTTTTGGAATGTGCCTCTTGGTCGATAGATGTCGCTGCTGCTGCTGTTGTCGAGGATGCGCCTGTTAAATTAGATCGATAATGAATTTTGATTAATTTCCTTTTATTCATTTGTTGTAAATCGATAGCTCATAAATTAACTGGAAAATATTTGGCACATAGAAACTGAAAGCCAAAGCGTAAACATATCAACGAAAGACCAGAGCAAAGAAGAATTGGAGGAAACAAAACGCAAAACTTGCAGAAAACTAATCAAATAGAGCACAACACAAAATTAACAATTGCCAAAAAAAAAAAAAAAAATAATAATAATAAAGCAAAGAAAATTGAAATCTAGGTGAATTAAGCCCGCCCTCCCTTTACGCCCCTCCCCCTCACAAACCATAACAAGAGGGGGCAGCAAAGCCAAAAAGAGTTAATTGAGACAAAATGGCTGCCATATTGGATTAAAACTAAAATACAATTTAATATGTATATATGTAAATTGCAAATATATATGTATATATTGGCATGTTTATATGTATTATTGCAAACAGTTATATATATAATCTATGTACTTGCGTATGTACATATATATGTATGAAATATCATACAAATTTAATTTTGCTAGGCATATTAAAAATTATTTATATATAATATATGTATATATATATATATACACATATATATATATTAGTACATCGCTATGTAAAACCTGATGTATATTTGTATGTACTGTGTTGCATAAACAATCATATATATATATATATACATATATATACATATATATACATATATATATATATATATATATACATTTATATTATATATATATATTTATATTATATATATATATATTACACACATGCAAACAGCAGTTACCGAGCACACAGCAACTGCACGATTGACATACATACAGACAACACACACACACACCTACATATATACAAAGCGCACCGTACAAAACGAGCACACACACACACGCACGCACATATACAATCTATATATATACGTTCACATACATACATGCACAGGCACAGATATATAATATGTATGTATGTTGATACAAACGGACACGCAGACGCTGGGACGGACAAACAGACAAGCGAACGGACAGACGGCCGGTGAGACAACGACGACGATGACGACGACGACGTTGGCTTTGGCTCTGCGGTGTTGGTTGTTGGTTGGCTGTGGCTCGCTGCTACTGCTACTGCTGCTGTTGTAGCTAGCGGCGGCGGCGTGGAGTGGAGTACGGGTGGGTACAGGAGCGTGTTTTGCGCTTGTGTATGTATGCATGTGTGTGTGTGTCGATGTTTTGATGTATGCGTGCGTATTAGTTTGTATGTGTGTGTGCTTCTTTATGCCTGTTTGTGTGTGCAAATGCTATTTTTTTAGGCAAGTTGAAAACTATTAAATCCAAATTCTATAAATTTCTGCACAATCGCACAATAACAAACTAAGATCTAAACATATACAGAGGAAAAACAAACACTTACAATTTACATTTTACGTCACACTTTAAAAGGTAGTGGCAGGTTGTTGTTATTGTTATTGTGGCAATTAACAAAATGATAACACGTAAAAACAACACAATAAAAATAAAGGATCTTTTTTGCCGAACGCACAACAAAATTTTTCTTGATTGTGGAGCACACACACAAACGCGAAGCGAATGAAAAAAGAACGCTATGCCAAAGCGCGACAAACGGACGATAGACGGGGGCAACAACAAGGCAAACTGGAAATGGAAGCGGAAAAAAGCGAAAAACGTCGCTACAAACACAGAGTTGCATGGGCGACATCCCGGTAAGCAGGGTTGCATGTGTTCCCAAAGAGCGGCGCGCGCCAATGTTATCGAACAATCGATAAAATTGCAATAAGCGTTTATTGCATGTTGCAACTAGTGCAGCTGCAAAAAATAACTAAACTACAATTAAATCACATGCCTTCAACTCAACGTGCAACTTGCATAAAGATCAGCAAGGCAAAATTGTCGGCAGAGCGCCAACTTTCGCATCGTAGCGCACAAAGAGAGTAACCAGAGAGAACACACATCTGGCCATAGGTGTTACGCTCAAAAATAGCGAATGGCAATGTGAAGCGCAAACGAACCGTTGTCACTACAGATGACTGTATGCGTGCGTGTGTTCGTCGGTGGATACGGTGCTGTTGTAGTATTGGAGCGCGCCCATGTGAATGGATGGATGGGAGGGAAAAACAAATTTGACAATTGTACCGCGCGTACGAACGAAATGAACAAAACAAAACTGAAACGGCATTGCTGCTGCCTGTGTTGTCGTTTAACGTATATGTCGACGCAGTTGCCGGCGTGTTTGATGGATTTTTTCTTTTTTTTGTATTGGACATGTGTCTGCGACGCGCAAAAATTTGAAAATTTCCCGCGCAAACGAATAACAGTATATATTGATATTGCTGCAGCTTATTAGTGGTAATGAATAGTTACTGCTAAACCAGGCCAATATTGAATGCTCCCTCACACTGACACTCGCTCACACATACACACATAAATAAATATATATGTATCAAGTGTAGTAAGCATAGGCAAAGCGGCGATTGCCCCGTCTGTAAGTTTTAAAACTGTATACTCATCACGATACTTCTGCTGGCGCTGCTGATGCTTCTTCTTCTTTCCCAACTTATTTCAGATTACGTTGCTGCTCTCTCGCTCGCGCTCACTCTCTCTGTCGCTCTCGCATGCTATGGGCCAATATAATACAATACACATACAAACATACAAATATATATATATATGCACACATACAAATATATGTATGTATACTTATATAAGTATGTATATATTTATATGTATGTATGTAAGCTGAATGCCATGTTTGCATGCATGTGTGCGTGTATATATATATATATATATGTATATGTATATATCAAAATGTTTATGTGTGTGATTTGGTCTATATGCAAGTACAAATTTGAAAGTAACCCGCTTCTCACCCCCGTTGATCGGCAACTGGTAGAAGTTTGGCATTCGCCTAGCTCCGCAACCGCTGCCACGGGATTCATTAAGAGCCACCAATTATCGGTAAAATAGTATTAATATATATATGTATATATTATTATATATATTTATATATATATATATATATATTTATATATATTTATATATATCGTATATATGTATGTATTTATAATAAAACGATAACAAAACTTCTGTTATACATACACGTGACCTTTTCTCTGGTTTGTGTCGTCGCCGTCGTTGGTTGTCATGCGAATTTTAGATACAATTTCTAAGAAAGTTAACCTTGCAGATATTTTTATTCTTTTTTTTTTAGATGAAAAGCAACGATTTTTGAAAGGATATTTTGAAAATTAACGCATTGGAAATTGGGGGCTAATATTTGTATGACGGGCAGCGAGTAGCTCAAGGGTATATCATCATCAAATTTTAATATTTATATTTTGTTGTTGAAAATTCTAAGATAGATTCTAAGAACTAACTAAAGTTTACCAAGTAAGTTGGATGACTTCATATGCAAAAAATTAGTTTAATAACTTTTCTAATAGGCATTAATATTTCATTGAAACCTATTTTAAATTGCCAATCATTTTTACAATTGCCATTAATTGTTTCGGCGTGATTCATATATTATATTAGGGTAATTGTATTATTGGTAAATTCTAATTTGTAAATTACTTCAATATACAACCCAGTATTAGTAACTTGTTGACTTTTAGTCAGGAAGGTCAAACAAACAAAATTCTTAAGATACTTTCTCTAATGAAATGCATAAAGTGCATTGTGAAAAATTTTCTCTCTGCAAAAACTGCAGTGAGTCAGTATAATTAGAAGGGGCTTAAATTCCCCTAAATATACAAACATTCTATGATTTAATCATGTACAAAGCGAAGTTAAATTGAAATATTGTGTAATATATATTTCACGATTTATTGGCAATGCAACTTGACTCCTGCTGGCAGCAACTTCAGTATGAAGCAAAACACTTGTGAGTGAAAAATAAATGTCAATATCTAATATGAATGATTTAATATTGAAACTTGGTTTACTTTTAATTTATATGATCTTTTTACTTTTGTCTACATTTTATGCTAAGTCCAAGCATTGGAATTCTTGGCCTGTTCTAATTAGTGACTAGACTTAATGCAGTAATGAAGTTAATCAATACAACCCGTTAACTTACATTTAATAACAATATTTAATATGCGTGTGCACATATATATTTATATATGTATTACAAAAATATATAGAAATGAATTTCTTCTATACATTTGTTCAACATATATCATATTCCAAAGAAAGAGAATGACTAATTTCTTTTACCATTTGATGACGAATGCAAAAATATCAATAATAACTAACTAACTAACAATTCGAATTATTTACTAATTTTAAGATACATGAGCCATGATCTTATCTTGATAACAACTAAATGATATTTGAAATATAAACTCAAAGCGAATCAAATTAAGACCAAATTTTAAGTTTTCATATTTAAGCTGAGATTAGAACTTAAATATTTATGATCTTAACAAGCAAAAGGTGATGACTGAATTATGAGATGATATTGAGCTTTCTTCATCTAAGAATTTAGTAACGTTTTCAGACCAATTTCAATAATAAGCTTGGGTTGAGCTGGAAATCAAATTCGATTTTATAATAAAAATAAAATATATACAACTTTCATTTGCAACAACATAAACAAAATGCTAAAAATTTTGCATTCCCATAAGAACTTGGCTTATAGCAAAACCACTTAGCCATTATAATCAATATATTACATATGTACACACACATACATATATACATATATATTTATATATATATACATATATAGATAGAGATATATGTATGTATGTAACTTATTTTATACGCAAATTTTAAGTGCGCAGTTTGCGTTTATACATATTTACATAGATGTGTGTGAATGTATGTAAGTGTATGTGTATGCCTGTGTGTGTTTGTGTTTGTGAAAGATTTAAACGCTCACCTAACCATTCACTGCGACCAACCATACAAAGAGGCTGCTGCTTAGTCGTAGATACAGCGAAAATATTATTGACAGATAGATGGATATGGTTTGAAATTTTATATATTTCACTCCTCGCCTGCCTCGGCGTCCTCCTCGTCTTCGTTGAATGACAATTTGCTGCTGCTGCTGCTGCTCGACTTTGACTTTTTGCTTTTTTTATCCTTCGATTTCTGCGGTTTATCCGACTTCTCTGTTTCGTCCTCAGTTTGGATTTTAGGCTGCTTAACCCGCTGCTTAAACACAATGGGTTGGCTTAAATCCGCAGGCCTTTCAGCTTCTTCTGCAATGCAAGAATTTGGTCATTAGCAATAAATAAAAAAAACTAAAATAAGTCATAGACAAACATAAAAATCGTTTTTATGCCATATGGGCAGTTGCAATAGTTAATAGTTCTTCCAGTGCCCGCCTCCGCATGCAACACAACACGCCCCATTCCACCAGTGCAGTCCACGAATGAGATAGAAACTGATTTTAACTCATTTCTTGGTCGTTGCGAGCGTTTTCCTAGTTTCGTCCCGACAGCCGCCCACAAATCCCTCTCCACCCTCCATTCTACTGAGTAAGAGTCTTGCAGTGCTCCTTCTCCCACCTCATCGAGTTCACCCGTTGGACAGACAGAAGACAGTGGCTACCGCTGCTGGTGCTGCTGTTGCTGCCACCGCCGCCGCTGCCCCCTTTCGACCATACACATACATACTCACACACGCACACACACACATATGTCGTCGTCAAGCCACTTGCCGTGCTCTCTTTGTTCGCCTGTTTCGTTCATCATTGTCTCTCCCGTTTTGCTGCTTCGTTCATTCTTTCACACGTTTTCACCCGATTTTCTGCGCGGGCCTTCTGACAGCAGCAGCGGTGGCGGTGGTGGCGGCGGCGGCGGGTTGATGACGACGATGGCGATGGCTACAACGGCGGCGGCGACGGCAGCAGCAACAGAGCGGCAGCTGTTGTTGGTTTTGCGATGGCAGCGACGGCGACGACGGCTGTGGGTCGCCGTTATTTGTTAACTTCTCTTGGCCGCCTGCTTTATCGTGCGCTCCGCTTTGGCTATGATTTTCATCACATGCTCCGCTTTAGCGGAGCCCCAATGAAAATGTCAGTGTGTATGCTTTGTGCCAGCTGTCTAAGTATGCGTGTGTGTATGACTATCAATGTGTGTATGTGTGTGTGTGTGCATGAGGGTGCTCCGCTGGCAGTGCCACACTAATTGCAATAATCGAAAGCCATGAAAAGGGGAGGGCGTGCAGAACAGTACTTGGAACTGCTGCCATAGAGACGCCAGTGGGCGTTGAGTTGCGGGCGTGGCACATAGAACTTACAACTCCCCCACACTCTTCCCTCTCCATATATTTTCTAGGTTAGAATTGAAGTTGAATTTTCCATTGAGCAAAAACACTTGGAAAATGCAACAAATTCGTATTTTTGCACACACACGAAAAGCGAATAGAAAACAAAAAAAAACGGAATAAATAGAAAACCAAACACTTCGAATTGCCCGCAAAAATTTAAAATGTAGAACGCGGCGTTTTTTGCCTTTCGGTTTGCTGCACTTTTGCGCATTTCAATTGCATTTTGTTTATGTTTTATATACATATAAATTTTCAAGATTTCAATTGCAAAAACACACGCGCGAAAAGAAACAAACACAGACAGATGCAAACACGTACATATATATATATATATCTTTACATATATATATATTCGTTCATACCTACATACGTACACAGTGTAGGGCAGAAAGTGGCAGCGTGAAAGAAGCGTGGAAGCGACCGACGCTCGATTCTGACTCAACTGAACTGAAAGCCAAACTGCCACAGACGATAACTACATCCTACCTACGCACACACCGACACGCATTCACATCCACACATACATACGCAAGTGCACACTCACAGCATACATATATACATGCAAACATACAAATACACAGCACGTGTGCGTGTGTGTGTGCTTACCTTTCGCTATGCGCTGCTGCTCGAGGGCCACCTCGTCAGCCGTGAGATCCCCACGCGCTAGGACCACAATTTGTGGCTTTTCGTCTTCACGCTCCGGTCGCTCCTCACTAGAATCGTAGTCCTCCTGATCCTGATCACCTTCCTCTAGTCTCTGGCGCTGTTTTTTTTTTATTTGCAACAAAGCTGAGCATGAGCGGGGGCAACTTTGTTTTGACTCAGCGGCTGCGGCAATAGCTTACCTTTGTTTCGACGGTGGGCCCCTCCTTGTAGCCGATTTCCGCCTTGAGCTTGGCCAAAAAACTGGGTTCCTGTGGCTTCACGTAGGTTATATTATTGCGCTTGGACATAGCAATAAACACATACGTATAAAAAATTCTGTTTCTCTTAATGTTTTCCAGTTGGGCTTTTCTTTCTATTTTGGTTGCCGCTGTTTGCTTCTCGCTTTGGACGGCTGTTCGTACCAGTGTTGTAAAACGCACTTCGATCACCATAAATAGGGTGAAACTCAGCAAGAATTAAATTTTTCTCTGCTATTTATTTAAATTCAAGAATGTTTGCATTAATTTTTCTTCAATTTTATAACATTTTTGATTTAAAACTTTCTTATTTTAATGCTTCAATGTTTTATATTTTGTTATCGTTTTCAATTTATATCGATATAGAGGCATTAACAAACAGCTGTTTTTATAACGATGCTTCTAGTAGTGCGCATGAGCGCCATATTTGATTTGAAATTTTAAAGGCAACCATTGTGAATGGCGGTTAATTTTTGAATGTTAAACTTGGTTTTACTTTCAGTTATATTAAAAACAGTTTATTCAGAGGTTATGAAGCGTGATTGTATTAATTTTTAACTATAAGTGTCTGTTAGGGTAATAAATGCTATTAATTCACTATTATTTGCTTAGAGTATTGCAGTAAAAATGTTGTGTGCTCAACTGCTGCTGCGATTTGCTGTCGCTCAGCTGCAGCAATTCCCACAACAGTTTCCTCTTCCGTTATACGGTCAATTTTCCGAATTCTGCTGCCAAATCACCGCCATGCTATCTGTGGCCAGAAAAAATGAGAAAAACGTTGCGAGCTGTCGCATAACTCGCAAATTTTCCACTTCACCTGCAATTCGATGCCGTCTAAAATCGAATTTTGATCAAAACTGACAGCCAAACAATACACAGCGGCATTCATCAACGTTCACCGTTGTCGCATGCAGCAGCAGCAGCTATCAATCCACCAACCTCCTCCCCACCACCGCCAACGCTACATAATAAATCATCTGTAAATTGATTTCAAAAACTTGCTGCAAAAAACGAACAGTCGCACAGCCACTAGGGCTCACATGTTGCCCCAACTGCAGCGAATTTATGCATAAAACAACAACAACCAACACTAGAAAAGAGTTTGAACTGCATCCTGGCACGCGCTTAAAATCTCACAAGCGTTCCCTCAACTAATATCAAATTGATAGCTTTTAAATTTGATTCCGCGTCTTATCACCAAAAGCGACAAGTTCGACAGGCCCAAATGGAGTGTGCACACACACACAATCTACCTCCCTCTCCCTCTCCCTCTTCCACTCTCTCAATATCTATCTCTATCTCCCTACAGCTGGGAAACTTTCTTTTACTTTCTGCGCTGCATTAAAAATGAGCAGCGCAAAACATTTTATGTGTTGCAATGGCAGCAAACTGTGCAGTTGAACGTGGCGTATGCTTGCTATTCGATACCCTGTAAAACAGTGCTGATTGGGTATATTGAAATCGAGTGTCATCACGAAAGTCTTTATGGCTTCGACTAATTCTGACTGTTAGCAAAGTGAGCAATGCGAACAAGAACTCAACTGACATGAATACCCTAGTCTTTTAGATATTTGTTGGGTGGCATAGGCAATTCATTTCCTCAATTTTAGCATTTCTATCAGTTAAGCCTGTCAAACAAGTATTTATACGATATTAATGAGTTCATAAACTACAGGGTATCTCATGGTCATTGCTGATAGATTAGAAACTGAGCAACAATTTACTGAACTATGCAAAAAATTTTCGCTCTTAAATATAATTTATTTAAGTTAAGCGTTTAGTGTGTCTATATTGTTCATGCCAATAAATTACAGGGTATCTCAGAGTACACAACAGTTGTTTAGCTTAGCTTAAGAAGCAGGCATACTTGAATTAACTAATTTGTCAATGTAATTCTTAATGTTGCACAAGCTTACAAATTACAGGGTATTATATAGTCGATCTTTGTTTGGGCTAGCTCGTAAGTGGAACAGAAAAGTAAAATTAAGCAAATAAATTGCTTTACGCTCTAGTCATCTAAGTTACATGCCAACTCTAGAGTGCATATATATTGTTTATATCATGAAATTACAGGGTATCATATAGTTATCACATGAGTCCTGTTTAACTATGGGAATACTCAATTTAAAATTGTGCAAATAAATTCATTTAGGCTTACAGTGCAAATGTTGATTATGGAGTAAATATTACAGGGTATCTTAGAGTTTATAATAGCTTATGCTAGTCTAATTTCGTTTAATAAGTTTAATTTAGGCAGCAAATTGCAGAAATCTCTTAGCTACGCTATCTACACTAGACAACTAACAGGATAACAGCTAGTTGTGCATGCCCTTTACAGGGTATTTTCTAGTCCACACTTTGATATTAGTTTCATGTGGCTTAACTTAAGTAGCAAGCAGCAAATAATAGAAGTATTATGCAAATTGTTTCATTTTCTTGGCTAGGCATTTGCCTTACAGGGTAGCTGCTAGCACAGCAGCTATTGTTAGTTAACTATTTGCTGTTGTTGTTGCTGCTGTTGTGGTTTGGTATTTTGTGTGTGCAGATTGATAGCACATCGAGTGGCTTCCTTTTCTTTTAGCTAATCTCCTCGCAGCACTTGTTGGCTTGGCCTTGACTATGCTCTAAGTTTTAGTTAAACATCTTTAGTTACATATTAGCTTCAAATACAAACAAACCCACCCACACACACGCACACACACCTATACATAGCAAGGAGTCACATGAGCAAAATCATGAGTTCTTGAGGAAAAATGTTATCACACGCTGCATCCGGCCGTGCAATCGGGCAGCTGCTGTCGTCGGCCGCAGTCGTCGCTTCGGTTCGTTTTACGGTTTCGGCTTACGGGCGAGTCGTGCCCACTTTTTGCCATATTCAGATGCTCGTCGGCATTTGGCGCGTGCAGTTGCAAAAGGCGCGTTGCAAGCGAAATTGAGTAATTTCGAAATTTTTAGTTTGACTCGAAAACAACCAAATTCAAGTGGATAAACTAAAGATAAACGAACTAAACTGAGGCTAGTGATAAGCTGGTGTTTTTTGGAAGCGCGTTGACTATCTTGCAACTAGTGCCACATCCGCTGTGCCACTTAATCAGTTTCGTTGGACGCGCGTAGCAGCGCGGGTCGTTTGACGCGTGTTTTACTGTCGCCCACAAAAAAGATGCACGGGATCTGGCCACTGGCCATGCTCGGCCTGGCCCTGTGCCTGGCCAGCTTTGTCAATCTGAGCAGCGGACAGTGGGTGCCCTGCCCCACTGGCTGCACTTGCCTCGCTCGCACCGTGCGCTGCATACGCGCACGACTCAAAGTGCTGCCCCAACTGCCGCTGGATACTCAAGTGCTGTAAGTAGAGTGGGGAACGTTTGGGGGGTGGGGGCAGAGTTCTAGCTTTGGCTATGCTTGGTTTGGTTTACATGCATAAATCATCGTCAAGTTTTTGGCTTTTCACAAATCCATAAATTAGTTTTTAATGTGCCACGAGCTGCAGATGAAGTCGTCCGTGGATGCTGCCTTGGCGCATCCTCCAAGCCCCACTCTTGCCTGTTGACTCAATTAAACGCTGTCTAACTAGCGCCGCGACTTGTTTTCTTTTTGTATGTTTATCAGTATGCGACGCGATTTCGTATGCATGCATAAGTCCCTATATATATATAGATATATACATATATATATATATCTGAGCTGACGCTGCGTTTATATATTTCCAAATGTCAGCACTTTTCCCCATGAATTTCCACTCAAGTTTCAGCTGTGGGTCGTTGCATGCAACTTGGCAAATGTTTGTGAAACATATGCATATTTATGCGATAGGCTGACTGCACCACTCAACCACCCAACCACCAGCCATCCGCTCTCCACTGGGAGGCAACATCAAAAAACAGTTCAGAGTAGGATTTCTGTATTCCAAAGAGAATTCAATGAGTGCACGATTTTTTGGGCAACAGCTTGAAATATATGGGGGCGTGGCATGCATTTGTAAACTTTAGATCTATATTTAAATGCCTTTATATATAGATATAATATATAAATGTCTTCAGATACTTTTAGCAGCAGAGCTGTAATCTAGGAATTTATGAAAATCTTTTGAGAAACTGAACTAATTTATGATAAGAAATTCATGAATTTTTTGTATATAGAAACATAAATAGATCACTATATATATATATATATATCTATATTTTAAAAAGTAATAATAATAAAAATAAATAAATAAATAAGCTATATAGATATATATTGAGTCTCTCAGAGGCAAAGACAGAGACAGAAGATAGAGACTGGAGACAGGAGACAGATGAACAATCATTGCATGAAAAAAAATATTAAAAAATACAACAAACTTTTATGACTCAATCAATCTTAATTTTCGATAAGTTAAGGCATAAATAATTCAACTTGAACAACAACAAAAGCTGCAACAATTGCAACAAATCCAGCAAATTTATAGTTTCTATTCTTGTGCCATTTGGAAACTGATTTTGTGGCAGTTTTAATTAATTTGTTTCATTTGTGTTAAAGTTGTTTTTGTTTCAGCTAAATGTGCCACATGAACACAATTTGCGAACGCCTCCGCCCCCGCAATTTGTTGCTGTCATGTTTGCATCTCTCTCTCTCTCTCGCTCTCTCTCTCTCTCTCTGTCTCTGTCTATCTTAACACATGTTTTGAAAAAGCTCTGCCAGCAGCATGAAATAAAATAATATTTAACTAAAATGCAATTCTCGCCGCCCACCAGGCCGGACACATGCAATTGTGTGCGCAATCGTGAGAGCCAAAAGCGGGTATATGCAGAAGCTAATAGCAAATTAGTAATTAACTTTTAGCTATATTTAGTAGAGTAGAAGCTTTAGTATGAAAAAATGTGCTTTGAAAGCACGCGTGAGCTTTTAAGCTTGCTTCACATTGTATTTATATATATACCCTGTAAAAGTAAGACTATATAGAGTGGATTATGAAATATATCCATAAATATAAGAAATAAATTATATACTTAGAAAATATTAATTTTAATAACTTAATTTTTTAGTTTTCTATAAATCTGTATTCACTTATGTTTGTGCTAGAAATTTAACTTACGACCCTCGTATATATATCTCATTTATTTCAGTACATATATGATATATATATATATATATATATATACATCAAAAAAGTATGTATACACGTATTCACTCTCAGGCCTAAAGCAAAGCAAAATTCTAAAAGAATATTTTCTAGTATTTAAAATTTTGCGAGGTATATTCTAGTCGAGCAGTGCTCAAGCTTCCTTCTGCAGCACTCGCATGTGTTTGCCTTAATTTAGTTAATGGCATCAAATTGTTTACATTTTCTTGTTGTCGTTTCTTTTTTAAATCTTCAGCTGTGATGAAAAGATGAATAAACATGAGAGCAAAACAGTGAGCAGAGGAAAAGAGAAAGGGCGAGTGAGAGAGAGAGATAGAGAGAGAGAGTTGTCAAATCAGATGTGAGAGTGCGAGTAATGCAATGCGAAATGTAAATGGAAAAGTGACGAATGATGACAATTGCAGGTAGAATTAACAGCATTGAGCTGTTAGAGGAAGCTACGAAAGAGTTTTCCGAGAAAATGCTGTAAGTTTTTCACTTAACGCAGAGCTGCGCGTTTGTTCGAGTGAAAATTGCAATTTTAAAGAATTGAATTTTTTGTGTTGGCTTAAGGCCTATGCCTGATGCCAAGGGTATTTCTTTTCAAGCTGTGTGTGCATTCATCAATGTTGCCTTGCCACAACACCCACGCACACAGTTGCAGTTGAAATGTTGATGCGAGTACAAAAGCGCAAACATTTTGACTTTTTGCTAAACTTGCAACTAAATGGAGGCACAGTGTGCTCTGTGTGTGTGGACTGTGTATGCATGCCACATACGCCGCCGCATCGGCATCATTCATCTTCCACGCCCACACACCCAGAGCTGCTGCGCCAAGGCATTTCTAGTTTTTTTTTAGACTTTTACTAGCTAAATAAATGCACTTGATTTCATTTCGAGCTGATGCATTTAACTCGAGCTATATATACATATTATATAATATACATATATGTATATATATATATATACTTGCAGTTTAAGTGCTGTTTAGCCTAGGCTAAGCTGGCGGGCAGCTGCTCCTTCATTATGCTGAGAGGTCCTGCTGAGCCTTTGCATGGCTGCCACATAAAACGCAGCTGATGCACACATATGATATCTGTACTTGAATAAACTATATATATATATAGAAAGAGATGCACAGAGAGTGCGATACTGCATGTGGCAGACTTATCTCATGCTGTTTCTATCATAACAAAAGTCGCCACACGTTGCATGCTCGGCATATTAAAAAGTTTGATTAGTGCTTGGACAATGCAGTCGCATGCCACACCCCCAGCCCCCAGCCCCCAGCCCCCAGCACTGATGTTCCTAAACTATTTTGCTGGCAAAAATGTTGTTGTGCTGCTCATTTCCTTCATACTTCGTGCTGCATATTATGAAGCATATATGCGTGAGAAATGCCTTGTTCATCCTTGTTGCCTGCCGCTCCACCACACACATCCTGCCTCGCTGGCTGTCTGGCTGTCTGGCTGTCTGTCCATCTGGCTGGCTACACAAAATATTGTATGTTATTATTAAATATGCATAAATTTCCTTTTTGCCTGCCACAGTTCACAGTTTTTTTTCGCTTTGCTGCTGCTGCTGCTGCTGCTGTTGTCGCTGCTGTTCCTGTTGCAGTTTTCCCATTTACATTTGCTGTTTATTTGCCCGTGCAAATATTGCTTCCAAAAAAGCGAAACGAGTTCTCTATTCGCTTTACAGTTCATAGTCAGGTGTTGACAACAAATGCGGCATAAAGGCTTACTTTGAATGCTGCATAAAATGGCCTTTGGGCATGGTGAAAATGAGGTTAGGTTGACAGTTAAGATCTGCTGACAGCGTGTAAGCTGTCAACTGAAAGGGCTGCTGAGATCACTTGAAATTGAGTGAAATATTAAAGCTGCTTTAAGAGAAAATAGCAGCTCATAGCAGGTTGTGTCATGCAGTGCATAGCCTAGGAGAGGTGGGATGCGGGAGGCGAAGCAGAAACAGAAATGGTCTTAAACTTGCAGTCCTTATCTGAATGAATAACTATAGTTGGGAAGTGTATACTTAAACAGAACTATAAATAGTCATAATTTTTTATAAATATTTAAGTCATTACAATCTAGTGAGGCAGAACTGATACCGAAACTGAACACAGCTAAACTAGCTCTTCAGCATAAATATCTTTATTTTTGTATATATATTTATTTTCTTATTTATTTAATTAAATATTTATTTATATTCTTGTTTATTTTTTTGTATCTTTAAATTTGTATTATTTATTATTTATTTTTATTTTTTTTATATTTATAATAATCTGTATCTTCACGTTCGTCATCTTCAATCCAAATTTCTTGTCACTGGCTTAAATGGTCTTCAAAATATGCTTAAAAATGTAAGTCGATTTATCGATTCTTATCGATTATCGAATAAAAATGATCAAGTTTGTAGTGCTTATGTAATTTGGCATTCAAGTCGCTAGCTTTTGTTTTGGGCAGAATGACAGATAGAACAAAGACATATAGAAGAACAGAGAGATGATTGTGTCAGCAAAGCTAGTTGATGTTCCTGATACAGAATATATTAATTATATAATATTATTATTCCAAGAAGAAGAACATCATATCGTTTCTATCCCAAAAAATTATTTGCCTAAGCTTAGACTGAATTATCTCTTAAAGTTTTAACAAAGAAATCTCATTCCTGGCAGTTGGTTTAAAGTGTTGATTAAAAGCGTAAAAAGCCTGTTAATATTATATTTCATAATAATATTATAATAAATTTAAGATAATATATTCTATTCACTTATATCACAGATTCAATACATTTTCTCAACTTTCGCTTAAATTTCATAGAGAGCATTTCAGCTGCGACTTTACATACTTCATTTGTATGATATATAACATATATGTTATATATGATGTATGATTTATTATATGCTGTGCAGATCTCTCCCTCTCTCTCTCACTCTCTCAATATATCATTCTGTCATTGGCTCTCGCTCTCTCTCCTATGCACTTGCTCTTTGCGCTTGGTTTGACTTTTCAATTGTTCGACCTTTTTTGATTTGCATAAAAATGAAATAAAATATATGTATGAATATATGTGTGTGTGTGTGGGGGGGGGGAGTCTTTGTGTATGTGTCGTGGTTGACCACTTCGAAGTTCGAACAGTGCACAAGCTGCCAGACAATTTGTAATATGATTTGTAATTATGCAAATGAATCGACAGATCTGAAATGTATTAAAGTGAGGCATAAAGCAAGCCACATACTCCATGC